ATGATAAAGTAAGCGAAGGTATAACTACGAGGGGACTTAAGAAATTAATCGGTGAATTTATTTGTAATAGGAAAATATTAAAATGAAATATAGGAATACAAACAGGAAAAAGAAGTTATTATAAACGAAAATCAAATAGTATGAGCAGAAAATAATGGAAAGTACTTTGAAATTAATAAGAACAAAAATGTAACGTTTTAAACGTTACAAGGCCCTGAAATAGGTATTCTATTAAATGGTTACCGGCTAAACAACATCATATATGTAGATGAAACCATAGTATTTGCGGACAACTTAGAAGACCTACAAGTTCTTATGAACAAAATCACGTATTACAGTCAACAATATGGACTCAATATAAACGTTAAGACGACAAATCTTATGATAATTAGCAAGAAAAGGATATCAGAAGTAGGGATGTGTAGTTCACCATCGAAATAGTTCTAATGAACGATTCTTTCAACTGAACTAATTGAACTAGTTCATTAATTTTCATAGAACTAGTTCACTGCGAACGATTTGCATTTTAAATTATGTCTCAACTTCTACAGAAGAAAATAATGAATGAATAAATTAGAACATATATTTATTATTTTGTGAATGGATGGACTAACTAGTTTAAAAAAATGCCGATTAGCCTCAGATAACAGATTCATAATTCTTATGAATGTGACAATAACATAAGTCTTATCTTAATGTCATAATGGTTCGATCTTATGCCCATGTATTAGTTTGGATGTTGCCATGCTGTGTTGTTTCTTGTATTGTAATTATGAAATAAAATTTTTAGTTGTGGTTAAAATGATTGAGGCATTTACATAAAATATAATTTTATGTAAAAGTGAGAATGAAAATGTGTTATTTAATGTTCCTAGAAAATTCAGTGATTTTTTTTGTAAAGGTTCTTTTAGAAATAACCTAATTATAAATACTTATGAGTTTAAATATACGTAAATATAAAAATAAATCATACTTGAACCAGATTTATATTTAAAACGGTTAATAAAAAACAAATCTTAATAATTTTTTGCAAATAAAAACTAACTAATCATATAATAATTTAAAACCATTTAAACCTAAACATACGACCGAAAGAAATAGTTCCGAACTACTTGTACGGTAGTGAACTAAGTGAACTAGTGAAAGACTGAAAGAAAACGGGCGGCTGGCGCCGAGCTTGTGTGATGATTGAGACGAGACATCTGGCAACCAGTTCTGTTAGGGTTGGATTTCGATGTCGGTCCTACAAATAGTTCTTTCGTGAACTAGTTCACTGAACTAGTTCATTTTTGTGAAATAATTCTGTTGAACTAGTTCGTCTAAAAGAACTAATAAGCACACCTCTAATCAGAAGTTCGTCAACTCTACGTTAACCAAGCCCCTGTAGAAATAGTGACGCACTACAACTACCTCAGCACCATAATAAATGAAGAATGGACCAACAACCAGGAGATTAGAGCTACATTAGCTAGAACCACCTTCAATCAGATGGGGACCTTCTTCAAGAGTCACAACCTCTCTCTTGATACAAAAGTAAGAATGCTGCGATGCTACGTCTTCTCTGTCCTTTTTTATGGTGTTGAGTCGTGAACCTTGAACGAAGATATGTGCAGAAAAGTGGAAGTATTTGAGATGTGGCTGTAACGGAGAATGCGTAAGATCCCGTGGACTGATCGAGTCACAAATAAGGAGGTATTCAGAAGAATGCATAAGAACCGAGAGGTACTACCATCAAATCTCGAAAGTTACAGTTCTTCGGACATATTATGCGAAATGAATCCAGATATGCTCTCTTTCAAGCCATCCTGTAAGGAAAAATATTTGGAAAACGAGGCCCAGGAAGAAGAAGAACATCATGGTTAAAGAACCTCAGAATCTGGTTCATAACAACATCTGTGCAGCTTTTCCGCGCTTCTGCAGATGCACATCAAGAAGAGAAGACTTCTACGAACCTGAACGGAAACAACAACAACCAAACTTATATTCAAAGTCCAGTTTAGATAGAAAGATCACATCTAAACTGGAACTATTCGGTTCCGAATCTAATTCCAGTTTTCTGGCTACGAAATAAAGTTTCAGAATGTGTATTTTGATAACACGGCTTACATTTTCCAGTTTTCATTGTTTTATTTTCTATCAATGTGTATTTCTATAGACCCACTATTTGCATCTACATATTTACAATATTTTAAAGTTAATGAAGAAAGAGATCATAAAATATATTAATTGATTTATACAAAACTGAAACAGCATTTTATTTAAGATATATTCCCAGCACCCAGATGCATTTAAAAAACTGAATACTGTATTCCATGAATGTAAATGAAAACTATAAAAACTTAAAATATTAAATACCACGATCTTATATTAAAAAACAAAGGGAATCTCACGAAAAATTACTTCATAGAAATTACTGGCTAGGGGTTCTAAGTTATCTAATTATACTAAGCTACTATAAATAAAGCTTTATCATATTTTTAAATTGTATTCTCATGTCAATAAGTGAACTTGATAAAATTGATGATTTATTAGAAGAAGGCTATAAGAAAAAAGAATTTTTTATTTATATTTTTTTAAGTATTGTAACATATTTTACAATTACACAAAAACATTTTTTATGTACAACTTTAATTTTAGAGAATCAACAAACAAAACAATTACAATTCCCACAGTTTTTATCGATAGTACTAAATTACTTAATAACATAAAATAGAATATGAAAATATATAAATTTGACTCTTCAAGATCAGACGTAGTCACTAATTTTGTGATCACGATCGAGTGGAAACTCATTTAACTCTAGTTACCATGCTACACTCAGGTGTCATCAGCTTCTCCCAGTATGTTGAGCTCTACCGTGAGTGATCATCCATTTTCTAGAGATATTTGACCTCAAAGTTTTCACTCTATTAAAATTCAGTATATGTTACAATAGCCGTAATTTTTTGTTTTCGAAGACAGTTTTTTATGTTTTCTCTATGTGCGAAATAATAACTTGCTAATGTTAAAGAAAAACGAAAAAAAAAATTAAAAAGGCTTCTGGTCGACTTACGATTTTCGCTATATTGTGTAATTGTATTATACATCAATAGACGAAGCAACATGTAGGTCGTTTGGTCTATTGATACATAACTAAAATATCACTTTTAGTGAATGATTAATAAAGTCGTTGGTTTTGAATATTTTATATTACTTGAGAAATTAATCAAAAATATAAAAAAAACTTGAATTCAGTGTTAAGAGTAGGTATAATTTTCTGAATATTATGAAAATAGTAAATAAACATTACTCATCTCGTATGTCAAAGTCTAAGTCTCCATCAAATCCGTCAATGTCATCTTCTACTGTATTGTTACTGAAAAGGGAGCGATACAGAGATTTTGCATCATTTAGTATTAGGTGCATTAAAGATCTTAAGTCGTTAAGCTAGGCACAGAAAGTGACTTGTCTGCGGGCCAAAGAGGAATCAAGTGGTTACTTAGGGATTGCATTGGAACGGGCCGTCCTTTTTGAAGTTTCTTGTGAAGATCTACTTTAACTTCACTGGTGTTAAAATTTATCCTTTAGTGATTTATCCTTTCTTATTTCAGTTTCTCTTGTTTTAAGCTAGCTTATCATGTTTTCTATGTGTGATTTACGGTTTGTAGTCATAATTTCCAACTTCTTTCTTCCAACGAATTCTTTTTTTTTCATTCTGTGAGCAATTAGTGGGTTCTTTTTATGTGATTTCTTCATCACGTTTAGGTAATCATCAACGGTATATAAACGTTGTTGAAATTTTAGGGCATTTTCAATATCTCCAAAATCACTATTATTGGGTAAAAAACTATGACCAGGAAAGAGATAGCGTAATGTATTTTTTCAATGGTAAGATGAGTTTCCAAAATCATTTTCAGAATCAAATCTATTTTGATGTTGCGTTTTTGGCCGCCACAAGAGTCTGACCACAAAATTATATGTTTGGCAGAAGTAACATTTTCTTCAATATGTTCAATATGTCTTAAGACAACTGCCTACTTCCTGGGCTCCCCGACCAACTTCACCTTCTATCCAAACATAATAATGACCTTTGTTATCCTAGCCGCTATGGATACCAAGGTTGTAAATACATAATTGACGCTTATAATATACGATATTTGTTGGAATTCTCAGAAGGGTTGGAAAATTTTGAAAGATAAAGCGAAAATTATTGTTCTCCCTTTTGCAACAACATATTTATGTGAAGCAGCATTATGAATAAACGCGCAACCTAACATTCGATTTCAGTTATCCCAAATTTAACCGGATATTACTAATCTGTGCAAATCAAGGCAGCCTCATTCTTCACATTAATATAAAGACATTACGTTTTTTGGGATTTTAGAAATAGGACCTATGTATTCATTTGGTTAATATCCCCCCCCCAACTAATAACTCTCATTGTTTATGGCACCTATATAGCTATCAGGTGCAAAATGGTAATAAGTGCTCCCTACAGAATTTCTATCCTAAATAGTGCTCCTCGACCAAAAAACTGGGAAACGCTGGCCTAGAGGACAGAAAATATATTATTAAATCGTTTTCGTTCATGTCCACCAAAGTAGGTGGCACCTCTGTACGCTAACCACTGTAGTGGTTAAGTTTTAGGAAACATTCGTTGGACTTGGAACGAGTTTGAATTTGTATCAGTCCGAGTGTCTGATGAAGCAAGGATGCTGAAATGAGTCATAACACTCTAATTGAAAATCTATAGGAATTGTAATTGTGCTTAGATCTTAATTTGTTCCAGTTTTCAAAAACAGAATCTTAAAAAATACGAATATTTCAAAATCTATCATTCTTAACTATCTAAATTTAAAATATTTTATTATTCTAGTTGTTTGATACAAATCTACCTAATCATATAAACCGCAACTTTCTCAAAAATAAAATAAAATAAAAAAAGTCCTAAACTTATTCAATATTCCAACCCCAGTAGATTCATTACATTCTCGAAAAAAAAAAAAATCATGACCACTTACCTTTGGAGGATGGAGAATTCTTGTGAAGAAGTAAATTTCATCTTCGGTAACCATGGGATTGTGCGTGTACTTTTTGAGTCCTCCCGGTGGAAGTTTCCTTAGTTGTTTGTTGATTTCGTCGTACATTGACGCGCATATGTACACGTCTGGTTCTGGTATCTCAGTCACACGGTCTATAAATGGAATATACCGATTCAGTTGTACTCACCTTTCAGACCGCACTTTGCTTTACATAAAGTACCCCATATGACAAACAAAATGTATTCTAATATCCAATTTTTACCCAATGGGCAACGAGAAAATAAATTCCACCCAATAAAACTACCACTGCTACTAAATTAATATAAGTTTATGTAAATGTTTTTATTTGAATGAACAAAGACAGCTATTACAAAATTATTTAGAAAAGTAATTTGTAAAATATCCACATCACTTAAAATAGTTCAAAAAAAAAGTTATGATATTCTCCAGACTTGGATAATATGCCGAAATCTACATGGTGATCAATAACTACGTGGTAAAGCAAACATATGTTTTTTTTAAATAGAACACCCTGTATATTTCCTCATATTTAGATTCCTCTCATAATCCCTGTTCTTTAATATGGAGTTTGACACTACTACACACAGTATTTAACAAGGAATAGATAAAGAAGTATTTATTTTACATTATAAGGTAAACAATATGTTGTAGTTTTCAAATAAGTTTAATAGAAATCATTGACAAATATTCGTATACAGGGTGAACTAAAAAAGAAAGTTATGATTTTCTTATATTTTTTAAATATATAATCCTATATTTACTTTTTCAAAAGATTGCATTCATACTATTTTACTTTTATGAAAAAACCAAGGGTGGCGTTTGTACGAGGATCCAATGAATTTCTTCTTCTTCAAGTGCCCTCTGCGCTATGGAGTTTGGCAATCATCATTGCTATTCGTATCTTTGAAGCTGTTGCTCTAAATAATTGGTTAGATGTGCACTGGAACCAGTCTCTTAAATTGAGCAGCCAAGATATACGTCTCTTTCCTTGGATAATTAACTGGAGCAATCGGTACTTTTTCCCTCCCATCACATGACCAAGATATTCCAACTTTCCTCTCTTGATGATGATCAACAACTCCCGTTCTTTGTTCATTTTTCGAAGAACTACACTATTTGTTATTTTGTCTGTCCAAGGTATTTTCAAAATTCTTCTATATATCCACATTTCGAAGGCCTCTAGTTTATCGGTATTGCTCTTGTTTAAAGTCCAAGTTTCTACTCCGTACAGCAGTATCGAAAAGATGTAGCATCTAACCGATATCATTTTCAGGTTTAAGTTAATGCCATGACTTCCCAGAATGTCCTTCATATTAACAAAAACAGCTCGACCCTTTCCAATTCTAGTTTTTATTTCTTCTGTGATGTCATTGTTGTTATTAACACTTGTTCCCAAATATTTATATTTGTGCATCCGTTCGATTTCGTTATTGTAAATCTACAGGTTTGCATTCAATCTTTGTTCTTTGAAATAATCATGAATTTCGTCTTCTTGACATTCATTGTTAACCCTTTCTCTTCACTAGCTATGACTACCTTGTTTAAAATGGCTTACAAGTCTTCTACTGTCTCCGCCATTAAAACCGTATCATCTGCGTATCTAATATTATTAATTGGTTGGCCGTTAACTTTTATCCCAGTATCTTCTTCCTCCAATGCTTTCTTCATAATTTCTTCCGAATAGAGATTAAATAGCATTGATGACAACACACATCCTTGTCTAACTCCTTTTTTAATTTCAATTTCATTTGTTTTGCTATTTTCGATGCGTGCGACTGTCTTCTGATTATAATACAGAGTAGATATTAGTCTTATATCGCGAGTGTCTAACTGTTTAGCTTTCAAGATCTCTAAAAGTTGGTCATGCTTGACGTTATCCAATGCCTTGATGTAATCAATGAAACACGCAAATACATCTTGATTCACATCCAAACACCTCTGTGTCAAGATGTTAAAGGCAAATAATGCTTCGCGAGTTCCATATCCCTCCCGGAATCCAAACTGAGTTTCTCCGATATCTTCTTCCAATTTTCTGTAAATTCTATTGTGAATTATTTCGAGGGATATTTTTAAGGTATGGCTCATCAGACTGATCGTGCGATGATCACTGCACTGCTTAGCATGTGCCTTCTTGGGAAGAGGGGCAAAGGTTGATCTTAGCCATTCTTCGGGAATTATACTGTTTTCATAAATCTTGTTAAATAAATCTACTAACAAATGGATTCGATCTTCGTCTATCAACTTTAGTATATCCGGTGGTAGCTCGTCTGGTCCTGGAGCTTTGCTATTCTTTGATGACTTCACCGCTTGCATTACTTCTTCTTTGCTTATTTCTGGACCTGTCTCCTCTGAAAAATTATCACAAGGAGGCTGCCTTTGTTCGTCAAACAGTTCTTCTATGTATGTCTGCCAATGTTTTAGTTTCTCCTCTGTTTCCATTATTATCTTCCCTTGTTGGTCTATAATTACTGTCTGCTTCCTGTTTCTATTGTCGATCATTTCTTTACCTTTCTTGTGAAGATAGAACGAATCATATTTGGCTTCCAAGTTTTCAATCTCCTTACATTTGTCTTGTAACCATTGTTTTTTAGCGTCGCGGATTTTTCTTTTGATCTCTGTGTTAATTTGCTTATACTGTTCTTTATTTTTACCTTTCGATAGTCTTCGAGAATTCGTAAATAACAAAATTTCATCACTCATCCATTCTTTCTGTTTCTTTGGTTTTTTTCTCTTCAGAATATTTTTAGCGGGCTCCAGCACGTTCTTTTTAATAATGGCCCAGTGTTTATTAATGTCTAGTTCTGGTATCTTCTCTGTCTTTTCCAGTTTTTCCAGATTTGCCTGAATGCTTGTTTCTATCTGATGTTTAACTGTTTCATCATTTAAACAATTGATATCTATTACTTATTTGGGCTTAGGTGTTTGTACTCTTTTTAAGTTTTATTCGGAATTGTGCCACTACTGGATTGTGGTCTGACCCTATATCTGCTCCTGGATACGTTTTCACAGATTCGATTGTGTTTTTATATCTGTTGTTTATGGTTATATAATCTATTTGATTTCGTATAATATGGTATTTGCAATGAATAGTCTATTCATTTATGCACACAACCTTCTTCTTCTTCTTCCTTCTTGTATGTAGGCTTTAAAGCCTGTTTCTTCTTCAATATTAGCCTCATAAATTGTTTAAATTATCGCCAGGAGAATGTTAAACAGTTTAGGTGACACTTTGTTTAACTCCTCTTTGAATTTTTATGCTTCTGTTAATATCGTGTAATGTTTGTGGTAGTGAGGCCTGCGTTGGTATACGACGGTGAAGTGTGGCCTGTAAAAAAGGATCAGGAAACATACCAATCAATATTATACAAACCATAGAAAACATCTACCTCCAAAATCGAATACAGGCAAAGATAAATGGAAAACTAACACAGTGTATACCAGTACAAAGCGGAGTCAGACAGGGTGACTCGTTACAACAGCTAAGAAATACAATATGATAATATCAGCAGACAAAACCAAATGTATGACAACATCTAAATACCCACTACGGTGTAAAATCGAAATTAATGGGAAAATAATAAAGCAGGGAGCAAGGTTTAGATATTTGGGAATAGATATAACTAGTTACAGAGATGTTGAAGAAGAAGTACAACAAAGCTTAAAAGCAAGTAAAACGGCGGGTTCTCTTAATGAAACAATCTGGAAGAACAAACACCTAAGACAAGACACAAAAACAAGAATCTATAAAGCAGCAATTAGACCTATATTAACATACACGGAGGAGACACGAACTAACACATCTAAAACGAGACGACTGCTAGAAACAACAGAGATGAAAATACTCCGACAAATATCAGGGAAAAGTCTATTGGATAGGGAGAGAAACGAAAACATAAGAAGACCATGCAATATAGATGACATAAATGGATGGGTGACAAAACGAAAACAGGAGTGGAACGAACACATCAGTAGAATGGCAAAGGATAGAATAGTATGAATAGCACGAGATAAGTCACCAAATGGACGAAGAAGTATTGGCAGACCAAGAAAAAGATGGTGCGATAATTTATGGGGCTGATATCGAAGCCTATATACTAGAAGGAAGAAGAAAAGAATATGGAGGTAGCTGAAATGAAAATGTTAGGGTGGATGTTGCGTAAGACTTGAAGGGGCAAGATCATATACGGCTTGATTAGGAACAGAGCCGTAGGTTCAAGAATAAAGACAGCAATGGTTTGGTCACATCAGATGTAGAAATGAGAACTCTGTGGGACGAAGGATGAACTGTTAGAAGTTAAGGGAAACAAAGGTAGAGGAAAACCGAGGAGAAAATGAAAGGACTGTGTGGCAGAGGACTTGAAAGAGAAAGGTTTAAATGAAGAAGACATGAGTGACGAAGAAAAATTAGGATCAGCAACCCCTGAACAGGGAAAAGCTGAGGAAAATAATATCGTGTAATAATTATACATGGTATTAACATAATCATGTCGATATATGTAAATGTAATGTGTGAAGGATTAAATTTGCTTATTTTTTACTTACATACAACCCAGTCGGTAAGCTCCAACACATGACACTTTCCAATAATACTGACAATAGGACTGGCGTCTTCCAAACTGGACAGAAATACTTCTTGCTTATAAAATAACCTAGTTGGATTGTGTGGAATATCTGAAGGAGATAAGAACCATGGGCCACGAAAGTAACACTTTCCGCTGTAAAGAAAAAAAATTATTGAGATAATTCATACATTCACAAACAGTACTTAAATAATAAAAAATAAAATACGTAAATTTTATGTGTAGGTAGAGTAATTGGGAACCAGTTATTGGTTGAGATAATCAATACTCTCTATAACTGGGCGATTGCAATCTTTTGCGTGTTAAACGGTGATAGTGTGTCAATATAGATCTATGCCAAAAACCAAAAATTATGTACTACATAATATAATAAATGAAATATTTCTGAATTAATCCGGTCAATTTAGATATAAAAATAGTGGTCAAATAACAAAAATTTCCGGAAAGTCAAATATTGGTGGAGAGCTGGGTTTTACCATTACAAATAAAGTTTTAAAAATCTCCATCGATCGTATGAGTGCTATAAAAGCACAAAGTTATTCGGGGACAAAGGTCAAAATTTGAGTTTTTTTAGACGTTTCTCGAAAACGTTAAGTTTTATCCAAAAAAAAAACCAGAATAAATTTTTTTTTGAGCAGTTTATATCTTAATTGTAAAAGTCAACAGAGAATACACATAAATGACAGCTATGGCTATTTCAATTGCAGAAACAATTGCACATCACCAGTTTTAACTGATCGAATTACTATTGCTACATAATATAGATATACTTACTCTTTCGTTTCCCAAATACTGTCTATTTGTGCTATAATTTGTTTACCCCCATCGGCTACTACATATACATAATCACCCGTTTTAATCATACCAGAACACACTGTATTGAACTGTTCGTAGTAAGTATTGCCATCATCTATTTCCATATTAATTTCAGCAACGATATTCTGTAAAACAATATACATAATATATAATTAATTGTTAAAAATAATAACAATTGATAACTTACAGGTTTTTCTTTTTCGAGCAACTGCTCCAGCTCTTGTAACTCCTGAAGTTCATCTTTGTGTTTTTCTATGCGTTCACGGAACACAGACATAACCCTCTTCGGTTGAAGAGGAACTTCCCTTGGAACCAATTTTATCGTTGGATTGTCGGGATATACTTTGATTTTCTTAAATAGCCTAGTCCTAGTACGATATCGAGATTCGCAAACATATACATCTTTTGGATCATAACCTGAAGTTAAAAAGTAGTATATAATTTTATGAGAAATACAATGGCAACAAATATGTTTGCAAATTATGGGAAAATTGATAAATTCCCCTTTTTATCAAGTGTTGTTCGGTTATTTAGAATATTGTGAATGCTTCTGTTAATACTTTGGTACTTTTTTCAGCTTCTTTGCTATTCAGGCAGCCTATTTTTCTTCTGAATTATATTTTTATTCTTTTATTTTTTGATCATGTTTATCATTTGTGACAAACTTTACATTTTAACAACCCATTATGACCTCATGTTATATTTTGTAACATTTATAGACCCGGAAAGCCTTGTTTTGACAGGCGAAGATTCTGCAGACAATGATACTGGAGGTACAGTGGATAATTTATCAGGCTGTCAATTGAGAGCACAAGTTGAAATTAAATTCCCAGATTCAACAAGAATTTCTTCCCACTTTACTTTAGAATCTAAAGTTTAGATGAACCAACTTGCAGTACATCTGATGAGAATGTAACCATAGAGCAAGTAACAAATGAGTGTGAGAAAAAATCAACATTATTTAAACTGCTAGATAAGACAAAACTCAAAGATAGTTTACAATGGGCTTTATATGGGGATCTTATAGATAATCACGCCATACCTTTTCTATCGTCAAAATATGAAAAATATCGTGAAATGTCTTGTGTGGATATGTTTGAACAATGTATTGATAACGATACAATTAATCTACTACAAACCGAGCCAACTTAATATGCTTATATACACCTAATATATGATATGCCTAATACTCTTGTTAGGAAAGTTTATGCACTGCCCAAACAATAATGCAATTGATGGGTCTGATAAAATGTATAAACCTTTATGAACAAATTGAAGGAATAATTTTTGTAATAGTTTGTGCCTGTACAATCAATGTATCAGACAAAAACTGGTTAGATTTGAAGATTAGAATAGAATAAATAAGTACCGAATGGATATTTGGTAAATTTTTACATGTACTAGGGAAAGAATCCATATTTTGTGCCTGAATATGAAGTTTGGTAAAAATATTGTTATAATGTTCAAAACGTTACCCAATCCTGGTCTGCCTTACAAATTATATTTTGACAATTTATCTACTTGTGTCACATTGTTCAATTTTTTGCCACTAAATCGTTACGGGGCTACTGGTACATTTAGGGAGAACAGACTACCACACAACTCTATATTAGAATCAAGGAAAATTAAAAAAAAAATAGTGATAGGGCTCCCATGTATCAGCTCTTGATAGAACACATGGAATAATGTTTATAAAGTGGACAGACAGACAGATGTGATAACAGTTGGATCCACTAGTCATGCTGTTTCATCTACTTTGTATGCTACAAAATATAGTCAAACAGAATTTAGATTCATCCAAATTATCCATACTAGATAGGGGCATATAATAATAACATGGGTGGCACCGATGGTATGGATAAAAACATTGCTTGTTATATGATTGGGATTCTTCTTCCTATACCGTCCCCATTAACGTAGATTGGCAACCACATTTCTAAAAGTTTCTGACTTCCTCTTTCTTCCTATTCCCTTTTAGTCATCGACTCTACCCTGCATGATGACCTGCAGAAGACTATATTTATCATTCCTCAGTATGTGTCCAAGGTATGCAGTCTTGCATACTTTTATTGTTCTTAACAATGTTTTGCCTCGACCCATCCTTCTCAGCACTTCCTCATTGGTGAACCTGGCAGTCCATGGAATTCTCAACATTCTCTGGTATATCCAAAGTACAAAGGCTTCAAGCTTCTTAACTATTTGCGCTTTTAACGTCATGTTTCTACCCCGTACAATAGTTGGGATCCCGATCTAACATTCAACAAAACCTCAGAACAATTGCTTGAAGTTTTAGAATGATGCCCTTGCCATTTCTATGCATACCCTGATCTCTTGGTCTGGATTTAATTCTGTATTGATGTAAGCTACCAGTATTTATATTTTGTCACTCTCTCTAATTGCTGTCCACCAAGGGTTAGTTGTTAATTATTTATTGGACTCCTTGATACTATCATAAGATTGGGATTAGGTCTAAAAAATGGTGGTGGAGCATAATATACATGGCTCTTAGATACAGCTGTTCCTGGATTTTGTATATAAAGCACCACAATATATTTCAGTTAAAGTTTAGCGGAACTATAGTTCAGGCTTACCTACAAATGTACCAAAATCGTCCTAAAGGCCGTCTATTTCAAGGTCCACTATTTCTTTGAATACAATTTCAGACAAAGTTCGCTATGATGGGATGAACCATCTCCAAACTACCATTCCTGACAAGAAGCTGGAGAAGGTTGTTCCTCCAGTACGAGAACTATGTGTAACATATGTGATATTGGAATTTGTTTGAAATATAACACAATATTTCATACAAACTCTCGATAAGGTCTACATAAGATAGCGTTACATATATGTAACATCGTTTTTTTTTTGCAATAAAAAAGGTTTTTTTAAGTATTATTTTTTCATGTTTTTACCTCTAATTAATTGAAAAATGTAAAAAAATACGGTATGACTACAAAAAAATTCCAAGTCATAATGGGTTAAGCACACAGCACTTGAAGAGTGACTTTGCATAAACTATATTTAATGCAATAAAATAATCTCTTACCTTCTGGCCTCATGGTAAAATAATGTTTCACATTGACTACACAGCACCTTCCTATAACCTCCTCTAATGGCACAGCCACATATGAATCTGATTTAAAAACCTCTCGTTCGAGAAATTTCCTAGTAGTTACATGATACGTTTCTGCAGGTCTAAAATAATAATTTCCGTACAACATCTTTTGGCCGTTATTCTCCCACAACCTCTCTATACAAAGGATATGCGGTTCACATCCTTTCTCTTTGGCTTCTACATACACAAAGTCACCCACTAAGAATGTCCGACCCTTAAATGACACAGACTCATCCTCCATGCATCCTCCGTTAAGTTCTTCGGTTGACTGGTTTTGTATGTCTGTTACACATTCATCAAGACTCATGTCACTATTTACACTAAGTTTTCTACTAAAAATTCTTTTGCTACCTTTTTCACTACCTTTGTCACTACCAGTGTCTTTATCACCATTAGTACCTTCAATATTGTTATCACTTTCTTCACTTTTACAGTTCTCAATTGGTTCTTTATTAACTGATTCATCATCGCTATTTAATTTTTGTCCGTTATTCGGCTTATCACTATTTTTATTACTGGATTCGTCTTCGTCATCACTGTGTTCTTCCTTATCATTTATTTCTTTCATCGGAGTTGAACTCTTTTTGGTTTCCACATTTTCTTTCTTAACAGCTTCCTCCTTATTATTGCTAATTCCTTCGTTAACGTGTATTTCTTTTAATATGGAATCCTCCGAACACCTCGTTTCCGTATCGTCATCAATCGATTCCTTCAAGGCTTTTTCGGTTCGTATCTCGTCTATGAACGATTTCGCATCCTCTTCCGTATAAAGGAGGGCAGGTGAAGCTAGAAGTTCTCCGTTTTTGCACAATTCATCTCTCTGTTGGATGAAATACAGCTGCAGATCTATGGAATCCTCAAACACTTGTGAATCAGTCCTCGAAATATATCGCGCCCTTTCCATACAGGCGAAAAAATCGTCTTGGAACACATCTAAACGCTTGTACAAGCCCTTGTCCAATCTTCGTTTTATTAAATCCAAAGAAATTCCTCGAACCCTACAATTAAAATAAAAAAATTATAGATCATAATCAAAATGGTTAGCAATAATTTGTGTAATATCCAAAACCAACTAAAGACAGTTATTCCAGTACTTAAAAGTTATTATAGTATTTAAAAAATCTAATAATCTAATAGTCTGACAAGATACAGACAAAACTACATGCAAAAGATTTTAGTGCGCGGTTCTTTCCTAATAAAAAAAAATTAACGTAAACTGAATTAGCAGTATTTTCATTTATAAGTGTAGTAAAAAAAACTTACTTTTTCCCATCAACCTCATCATGTTCTGGTAGATCCGCCATAGAATCCGAGTAACACCTGCCATCATCGTCTTGATAATTATATACATTAGTAAAAAGATTAAGAAAAATATCTTGTATGGCAGCTTCGACATCTGGCACGGTATTCTCATCTTCTTTGAGTTGCAACTTCGTTTGGAATAGAAACCTCTGGAGAACTAGAGCATCTTTATAGATCTGCGAATCGGGTTCGTTAAATTTGCAGGCATTATCAAACAATAAGACGAAGTCCGCAAAAAGATCATCGAGACTCTCGTACTCGTTGGAACGAATCTTATGTGATATTTTCTCCATGTCTATGGGATTGGTAATGACTTCGTAGTAATCTGGATACTCGTTCTTCGTGGGTAGTTTCATGAATGCCTGTGATATTTGTCGGGCATCTTTCGGATCACGGAAGTATCTGATAGCTTCGAAGAAACTCTTTAAGGTTTTTTCTAGAGGTGAAAGAATCCGCCTCGGTTTGTATCTAAAAAATAAAACTTACATAAATGACATATTGTAACAGAACGCCAACCCATGAAGATATTAACACGGCCCACGGTTGATTATTGAAAAGGGCAATAGAGCAAAGATTTAAGGCGAAACAGCCAAAATATCATGTAACGGATATTATTTGTTAATGATATTTTGAAAGAATTTTAAATCCTTCAGAGAATAGTTTATGAGGGCATATTTGCCTAGAGACATAAGACCATTCCTTTCAAAGTAGATAATGAATTTGTCAAAACATTCCAAAGCTGAGTGAAAGGACTATCACAGAAATAAAAATAAAATAGACAGTTAAGGTTTGCTTTCGTTACAGCGTAGTGTTACACCATTCGTTGATGGGCATATTTCCGCCTCTTGGCGAACTCATGATAAGCTCTAACGAATAAAACCTTTTTCATCCATAAAAGTAACTATTTAAAACATTGACCAACAGACGCTAGAGCGACATCTACTAACGAAAATATAAATCAGAAATCAAATTCAGGATTCGGCCCAAATCTGTGTTTTTTAAGAATACGACAAGAATAATTCGTTAATGTAATTCGAATAGTGTGCAACTCCATTTTTTTTAATATGACTTTTTGTGCCATATAGTACAACGACACCATATCTTTAGCCTGAAAAGGACCTTCATGATCAAATTATTGACAAGCAGAATGCTTATCTCACGCCATTTGTATTAGTTGACGCAAGTCAGTAGTTGTTCTTGGACTTTCTCGTTAAAATCTTCAATTTTTGCTTAAACTCTGTGTGTTGTTTCATATATCATAAGAAAGGTATGTCTATTCTGACATACAGATAGACATTTAGACAGGCAGATAGCATGCATTATACGATAGAAAGATTGATTAGAAAATCCCCAATTAGTATACCTGCTGACTATGCAATAATATACAAAAGCATGTTAATATGCAATATGTTAATATGCAAAAAATCCCTACAGAGTAGAGTACTTATAGCATGAATTTTTTTAAAACATTGAAGGTAAATTTTATCTCATCAATACAACCTGGAAAAAAGTCGGAGATCCCCAGGTAGTTGACCTAAAGGCAATTAAATATACAAACAAAAACACATTTTACAAAATTAGACATTCTGAATTGGAATGGAAAACTTTTCCTGCCAGATTACCTGCAAATCCAAAATTTTTAGATTTTGACTCTTTGCCTGCATTATACAAAGGTAGAATTCCCATTAAGAAAGAAAAATATGAGCATTTGCAACAACTGAAGAAAAGTATACAACAGGACTACCATTTATATTATGATCAGTACCTCATAATTAGCCTTGTGCTTATTTCATTTTATATGTTCTGAGTTTAAAATTTTTTTAAGCATTCATTTTGGTGTTACAATTACCGATGTGTAATCCTTATGTTACTAACAAATAAAGTTTTTTCAGAAAAATGCGTATTTCCATTTTGCTTTCAAAATATTAGTTCACAAAAAGCGTATCTCCAATTTTATTTAAAACAAAAACAATATTTCATCTAAAAAACAAAAATAGAACATTCAAATTATATCTGAGTTGACTAGTAGTCGTAAAAACGAATTTCACTATGCAAATTACACTGACTAATTGCCAATCTCTCAGAACGAGAGCTCCCAGCATCAGAAGTGAGTGTTAAAGATAAAAACTTTGCTGTCATTGAGTGACGAAAATGATAGGAGTAAGCGTCTAGATACTCTAGGACCACTTGCACAGCACATTTTTCAATATCTACCATAGTTGCAGACGAAAGATCAGGAACAAACAACAAACCAATGTATGTATGTAGAATTGGAATATTAAATATCGTTCTTTGTGTAGGAAAAACTGTACTTGTACTTACGGCTTTAAAACTACCCTCTCTCGTTTAGGTTTCTCCGGTGTCACGTGCACTTGTTTGAACTGAGCTACTTTTTTCAGCAGGTACTTCTCCAAATCATTCGCGTCATCGTATATCGGCGAATTCTCTTCGTTAAACTGCCTACAATTGCTGAACATTAATTTGAAGTCCTTGACGAGATCCGACACTCCGCTGTATTGTTCGGATTTTATTTTAGACTCTATCTCTAGAAAATCTATTGGTTCAGCTATTACTTCGTAATATTCGGGGTAGAGCTTTTTCGAAGGTTTTTCTATAAAGGCTAACATTGGTTTTCTACCATCTTCAGTCTGAAATTACAATTTTTTTTATAAAATGTAATAAACAAAATTATAATTAAATTTAATATTAATAATTTAGTTGTTGTCTAACAATATATGTTATAGGGATAGGATATTTAAATGATTGCGCACCTTTGCATACAGACAATCCGTACGAATCAATGTTTCAGAACCAACAAAAAAGTCATATATGTACATGTATTATGTATTTTTACAGGTTTAAACGATTTAAAAATTTAACGAAACCCAAATACACACATCCTAGAGTAGATGTTGCGACGGTTGGGACTGGGAAAATTTTACCGACCGTGGGAAAAAGCGGCATCCTTTGATGTTTGCACCTGCTCATGTGTTCGAGTGACGTCACGCTCACTGACAAGTCGAGTCATTTCTTCTTTTCGTCTCTTTCGTCTTCTTGAACGTCCACTGCTTGACAGGACAACCCAATATTTTATACAATGCTACATAAAAGCTTGCATTCTTTCGTCTAGTACTCGACGCATATTTTTCGCCCAGTACTCTACATAGATCTACGATTCTTTCCTCCAGTGCTGTACATAGGTCTACGATTCTTTCCTCCAGTGCTGTACATGGGTCTACGATTATTTCCTCCAATTCTCTATATAGGTCTACGATTCTTTTGTTGACGGCTAGATACAGGTCTTATCGCTAATCATCATAGGACACCACTGCCAAATTAGATAACAAATATTTTCTTCTTTTCGTCCGTCGTCTCCTTTTTACATTTAGATGCTGATGTATACAAGGTAAGGTCAGAAAATACAATTCATGTTACAGTGATAGTGGGATATGATCACAGACGGTTCTTCGATAGCCATCAGGCAACAATTCCCTGATTCATGTTAAAACATACAGAGAATACTTTACGTACTCAACTCAATAAGTGACAGCCCGGTTTGTAAGCGAGTCTGACAGATATCCTATGTTTACAGTACTACTCCTACAATGTGGTACCTGGCGTGTTTCTTTGTGAAAAATGTCGACCATCCGAATTCTGAAATCGTTCGATGATGATGATGTAGTCAATCTGGTTTCTAATCATTTTTTTTTTAACAGTCAGCTGGAGATTTCCAGGTGTAGAGTCTTCGAGGTGGTAATTGGAAAAAGGTGTTCATGATTGCACTATCCGTTTCCTGGCAGAAGTGAACAAGGCGGTCTCCTCTATCATTTCGCGTTCCTAGTCCAAAGTGTCCCACAGTATTGCCAACACCTCCTTTGCCTACTTTGGCGTTGAAATCTCCTAGCAGGATATTCACTTCTTGTTTTTTGGTATGTTTTAGGGATTCTTTCAATTGTTCATAGAATATTTCTATTTCCTGCTCTGAGCTTTCCGAAGTTGGAGCATATGCTTGAATAATGTTCACGTTAACTGGTTTAGCATTAATGTTGAGTACTGCAACTCTATCTGATATTCCTATAAAACTAAGTACACATTTGTTAACTTCTTTATTTACTATTATAGCCACTCCGTTTTTGTTTCTTGTTGTAGTATCTCCACAATAGTATATTGTGTGGTTTTCTATTTCGTACTGGTCTAAATTGGGTCTTGTAACTTCACTACATCCAAGTATGTCAATGTTAAGTCTTTGAGTTTCTTTAATTATGCTATTCACTTTTCGGGCCTGAAATAAACTTCGTACATTCCATGTACCAATCTTCTTATCATGCTTAAATCTAAATATTTGTGGCGACCGGGGATTCTTAACACCCTCTCCCCACTTAAGGGGTGCCCGGGACTAAAGGCCGTTTCTATATTAACTTCATTCCATTGTGATTACACTAGGGAAAGTTAATTGGGGTGGTTTCTCGTTGCCTTCCCCCAATGATTTTTCTTTCGTGTGAGGTTTAATCCTTGGGAATGGATATGTGAGAGGATTTAATTGTTTTGGTAGGGATCTTGGGGTGGGGACATGACTTCTCACGGCAAGGGTTGGGGATAGCAATGGCTTGCGTGGGCAAGGTTGCATAACTGAAGTAGATCTGTCTCATACCGGGATCGTACAAGAGTATCTACCCGCTACCACTAACAACTGTTTAAAATAGTTAAAAGCAGAGAGGATTTTGCCATGTTAATTGCCAATGTGACGGGGACTTGATAAGGCACGCAAAGAAGATATAATACTCTACGTCTAACTAAAATGAACACACTGAATACACAGTAATTCATTATTAGTTAAATATTAAGACAATTACCTGTGCAATAATTATATAATGATTTGAAATTAACTACTTACCGTGTAATCTAACATAAATTTTGCCAACATATGTAACTTCTTCTTGAGGATAGTGGAATCTTTGGGAGGCCGGCCTCGTTGTGGTGTGTAACCGAACAACAGGTGTTTAGGTTTAGGTCCAGGTTTTCGCCGAGCTACAATCTCGTTTTCTGTAAACAACTAAAACCCAAAAAATATATATAGCAATTTTTCAATCAGTTGTATTCATGTTATTTCTGTTCAATCACCAGAGCCAGAGCAATGAACGTGTGTGCAAGATATTTTTATTAAAAATAAATCACATGAAACGAACATCAAACATTTTGTGGTATCTAAAGTAACATTTCACTATTTGATGGAAAATGTTAATGTCAGAAGAGGTTTATATAGGAATTGACAGTAGCAAAATAGCATCAAATGTTAGCCAAGCTGTCGACATTTGTAGCAATTTAACAAAAGTATCGTTGAAAAATTGAAAGAATTGTATGCTTAAATATACATCGGAAAATAAAAAGTAAGAAAAAGGAGTTTTATTTTATTTTTTGAGTGGAATTTCAACACTGAAAAACATTTCTCAATAACTTGAAAACGATGACTTCTTACCCAAGATATCTCGTAGAGTATTAATCAGGACTATGCGCGAAATTAACTTTCGATATGTAAAAGGCAACAGAAAAAGTATGTTATCATAAAAAATGAAATTATTATATGGAGAAGAAAATATTTAATAGAAATACGCAAAATTCGCAGCATTGGACGGAAAATATATTATTTGGATGAAACCTGGATTAACGAAGGTCCTACAGTTGGAAAAGTTTGGCAATATTTAAATGTCAAAAGTAATTGCGAAGTATTTATAGAAGCTGGTCTACAGGATTAAAAACTCTATCAGGAAAGAGACGGCGTTTAATCATTATCCATATAGGAAGTGATACAGGGTTCCTTGATGATGGTTTGCTTCAATTTGAGTCAATAAAAACAGATTATCATGAAAAAATTACTTCCGAAGTATTTGAGTGCTGGTTACGAACTTAATCTCATCGAACTTATCTGGGCGCAAGTGAAAGGAAAAGTAGCACGCAATAATAAAACGTCCAAATTAAACGAAATTGAGGAATTTCTAATTCAAGCAATCCTCCATAACTCCAGAGAAATGGGTTAAATGTATAGGTCGTACAGAAGAACATCGTATGTGGGGACTTGACACTTATATCTATCGAAGTTTTAATAGAGCCAATAATAATAACACCAGGTGAAGATAATGTCAGCGACAGCAGCACTGCATCTTCAGATTTAGGCAGCGAATAATATTTTCTAATACTTTGGTAAGTGTGTTTCTAATACTTTGGTAAGTGTGTAATGTTTAGTGTTTGTGTTTAAATAATTATGGTACAATGTTTTGGTACATTAGAAATATTTTTTTATAGAATTTTAGTTTGTTTTGTTTTATATTGTTTAAGTTTGTTTTTTGTTCATTTTATTTAAAGGGACAATACGACTCTTGACAAACATCCATTTAAAAAAAAGTAACGTACCAAAAGATATATTTCTGGGGCGGTGTGGAAAATATTTTAAAATTTGTTTAAAAAAAATTTAATTTTTCAACACTTTAAGGACGGGTCACGTCAATAGACATTCGTGAGAGCCGACTTCCGCGAGAGCCGACTAGCATCAATAAGCTTCCTCGACATTTACTTGTTTTTTTATAGTTTTTTGCTTGTGACATTCTGTATTTTTAGGGGAATATGGGAATAAGCCACAAAATATTTATTCATATCTTTAGTTTACAGACGTTTCGATCTCTATATCCAGAGACCGTTTTCAAATATACAAATGATGTTATAATTATTCTTCTATAGCTGTTTGCTTGTGACATTCTGTATTTTTAGGGAGAATATTGGAAATAAGCCACAAGATATCTAGTTACATGTTTAATTTACTAACGTTTCGATCTCTATTCCAGAGACTGTTTTCTAAGTTGGAAAAAAAAAGAAAACAATTAATATTATTAAGATTATATAAACATATAATAATAATAAACAAATAAAATAAATATAACTATCTACCAGCTAATGGTGGTACGCTGTAACAAAATCAAACCTAAACCATCTATTTTATTTTTATTATTTTACTTTAGTATGGAGTATTAGGAAATGTTTTTACGAAGGAATTTCTGTCTAGACGAATTGGCATTACGTAGATACAAATTTTAAATCCCAATGAAAGTGCATTTCGGTGCATTCGTCATCTGTTTGTTTTGCAGCGTTTAGAAAACACAGATTTAGGCTGAATCCTGAATTCAATTTCCGATTTATATTCTCATAAATATAACTATTATTTATATCTTTGAAAACGCCTTAGGATATAGATATCGAAACGTCAATAAAAAACCTGTAAATAAATATGTGGCCTATTTCGAACAAATAATATTTAAAAAATATAATATAATTATCGTTGAAATAAAAGTGAGTATACGCCACTGGATTTTTATATGTCTTTAACACTTCACCGCCTTTTAACGATGAAATCACCCATTCAAATAGTGGAATCTGACTTTAGTTGTAAAATTAATAAAAAATATCTTGCGATAGAAAGCAACATAAAATACAAACAAGAGCTTTGTTACCAAAAGTTTTTTTTTTCAAAAAACCTACTTTACAGAAAACCATTTCAAAAATATTTACCTTAATCCTATTAGTAATCTCACTTACTCTCTTCAAGTCTCTTACAATATCAACGTTCAAGAACAATCCGAATCTTCAGACTGACCCTAAATAATCGGAATTTTTTTGCAATAATACGAGTATAAGTTGGAGAATAATGAAGTTACAGTAATTTGAAGAAACAGGTAGCTTATGAAAGAAGATTTATTCTCTTATGAAAGAAGATTTATTCTATCAATATTATTAAAAAAAAATGAAGAAAAACAATTTTGAATACATATTACAAAATTATTTTGCAAAAGCATGTCGACTTTTTGCTTATAAACAATTAGAATAACTTTTTAACCATTACCTGCAGGAAATTATTTTTTCATATTTGGAAAGCCTGTATATTTTCACAAATTAAAAAACAAAAAAGAAAATGATGTCTTAGGACAATTTTGGACGAAGCTAGTCTTTTTTTAATGATTCACAGCATCTTTTGTTTATAAAAATTAAGAGATCTATATAGCGTCATTTAAAAGAACATTCTTTTAAGTTTTAATGTGTCAAATTTAAAAAAGATTGACTTTAAAAAAGATTTTATGAAAAAAACAAATTATTCTATTCAATTATTTCTAGAGATAGAATTGGTTTATGCATTATTTTTGAGTAACTAAGTACGTTCTGGCGCAACCCTACGTATGACGTTCTACGTTTCATGTGACCTTCTTTAGTGTTGTTGACAGCTTTGATCCTTCTTGGCATGCTTTGAATGTTTTTCAGGTAGTTTTCTTTCATTTTATCGTCTCTGTGCCAGGTGACAATCAGTGTCTCAATTAACTGCTGCCTATTTGATACAAATGACAGTTCTAGAGCTGTCAACGTCAAAAAAGTAAAGTAATTAGTGACAAAACATATTGGAATACCTTAATTGTGTAGCATTATATGATTTTACTATAAAACTTTTGAATAAATGTGAAAACTTAAAATTTTGTGACTGATCATAATAATTTGATCACCTACTGTAGGTTCTTGTTATATAGGTCCATACTACTCAAAATAACTATCGTTTGCCTGGCAGAGTCAGTGTCACAAGAATAATCTTATTTTTTATAGTTAAACAACAAATTCTCCAAATAACCTAGAAAATTATTACTAATCAGGAAGAACAAATCAACCTTAAAATAATCAGAACTTTTGGTAACAAAACTTAAGAAAACAAAATATTAGTTAATAGGTTAAAAGAAATAAAAAGCACAAAACAAGCAGTGCGTTAGCATACCTTTCGGTTTTTGTTAGTGACTCTGTGTGTCGTTACCTGATCAACATCAAGTAGTTCCTGGACTTTACTCTGCATCAGTTTTTGCAGTCTGACAGCATCCTTAGAAAAATATACATACATTAATTAATATATTTTTTTCATATAAACAATGTTGAAATTATCAAAAGCATATCGTGTTGATAATAGATTTTACTAGTAATTCACAGCAGATTTTTGTATAACGATACTTTAGTTTATCATGGCGTGCCGTTTTTTCTTCCTGGTGTTTCTTTTGCGACTACGACAGAGATTATCAAAAGAGATGCTGCAACTCAGTTAGCGGGAGACTATTACTACTGTTACCACATCGCCTTTGATAATATCAGTCGCAATTGCAGACGAATAGTCAGATTAAATAAATCAAACCATCTATAAATATGATAAACAAAATAAATCAGTACAAAACTGATGTAGGTTATTAATATCATAAGCTATAATAGAAATAAAAACACATACTCAATCAAGACTCACAAGTGTTTTTAAGGTTCTTGAGAAATAGTCCAATCTAGCAAGGTAAAAATGAGGTGTAAACTCTGATTTTCTTGAAGACATAGATTTTTATAAAATTTTGGAAATAAGCTCTACTTACCCACCACATCAAAATCTACCCTTTGCCGATATGTGCTTATTGTTTTTAAGGGTGTAAACTACCCCTTTTTTCAAAAAAACTAATAAAGTGGTAAATGAAGCATATAATAATTTGAAAAAAATTCGCATCATTGGACGGAAAATATATTATTTGGATGAAACCTGGATTAACGAAGGTCATACAGTTGGAAAAGTTTGGCAAGATTTAAATGTCAAAAGTAATTGCGAAGTATTTATAGAAGCTGGTCTACAGGATTAAAAACTCTATCAGGAAAGAGACGGCGTTTAATCATTACCCATATAGGAAGTGATAAAGGGTTCCTTAATGATGGTTTGCTTCAATTTGCATATAATAATTTGAAAAACATTTGTAGGTATAGAATTACGGTTTTTTTGATACTTCAATATAATATTTATAATTTTTTAACTTTTTTTGACTTATTTTATCCCTTATAAAGTACCCCTGTTAATAATGAATTGGAAAATATAATTTAATGTACTTTTATGGCATTAATTATAATGAATTGGCATCTTTTATCGTATTTAACTCAAATATTTCATATCCCAAATTTTCAACCCTTACACCATTACGAAAAAAATGAAAAAAACTGTTTACCAGCTAACACAACTTAATACTTTATTTGTATTAAATCTATACCTTTTTATCACATTTAGCTAAATTTCTTTTCCATTTTTTTCAATCCCTTATCAATCATCTCTTATTACAAAATAATAAATGAAAAAATCGTTTGATACATTTAAATAAAAATTTGAAATAAATGAAAGGAAAATTATAATAAAAATCGAATTGAATTTTTACACATCTTTGATAGTTTTTGGTTATTTTGATACATTCAAACTGCTGGGTGCATTTGCTAATACACAGATAAATTAAATTGTACATGAATTACCCTTGGATTGCAATTAGGGTAGTAATACCAAGGGAGTAGTTTTTTTTTAATTGATCTTATTTTAAATTCAATCCAAATAAGTAAAAAAATATACATTTAAAAATTTTTTAAAATATTGTTTGCTTAAAACGTGTTGCTCTTCCCATTTGTGGAGTTATTTTTGACATACAAAATGTTCCCCCGAGTCGGGGTAGTATTCTCAGGGAAGAATCACCGTATGGGAGATTTTGTTGTTAAAGTATTCCATAGCTACTGTTAAAATTTAAAGGAAATCGATGCGTCTGCAAGGAAATCAGAGGTGAAAACCTTGATAGAATGGACTAAAGTGAATTATACAAATACATTTAAGACGCATCTGCCATATTCTTACCTCTCCTGTGACTGTTCTAAAGTTAAAAGGTCAAATGCAAACTGTCGAGAGTCGAAAAATTATGCGAGTTTATATTTTTTATATATTTCTTATTTCGATTTTAGTTTATACATTTATTAGAACCTTTAATAAAAACTTACCTTATAAAGCTTCGACGCGGGAATATTGTACTTTTTGGCATTTTCAAAGATTATAGTTAAGTCCCCCGCAACTTCGCTTAAAGTACCATATCCCTTTTTGACTAGCTTCTGCCTAATTTGACTTAACGACATTGGGTTTTTGATTTCTTTGTAGTAGTCCGGATAAAATTTTCGTGACGGTAACTTCCAGAAGGGATCCGACATCGGCATGCCATTAGTACCGGTAGCTGTCCTAACGGTTTCAAAAAGTTTCCAATGGGGGTTGTTCATGTCAATTTCTGCTTCCGGCTAAAGAGAATGCGATATTAAAATTAGGTTTTGTGTTACTAGACATTCAAACTTAATAAAAGGAAGGTTATATTAGTCATATTCTCTTGTTAACTATTAAAATTTGTGACATTCTAGTACACTTAATACAATGGCAGTGTCTTAATACCAATTAAGGTCCTGGTCCAAATAGGATATCTAACTTGTTTTTAAGGAATTGTGCAGTCTATTTGTGTAGACCTCTGGCTTATTTTTAATAAATGTCTGACCAAGGGTCACTTTCCATTGCTGTTTAAAGAGAGCCTTTAAGCCCATACAAAAATTTGATGATAAATCATTGATTTCTAATTATCATTTAATTATGAATCTTGCAATATTCCTAAAATTTTTGAGGCTTTAGTGACTGATTTTTTGGTAGATAACCTGAAGGATCCGCTAAATATTGGTCAGCATGGTTTCCTGCTTGATCATTCAACTTCTACCAACCTATTAGTTCATACTGATTACATTATAAATTCCTTCGAAAACAGCTCTCAGGTAAATTCAAAATTATACTGGTTTGTCTAAAGCATTTGACAAAGTAGATCATTGCCTTTTATTGCATAAACTGGAATTTTTGGAACTTCTTTACTGACTGAAAAGTTATATGAATCACCAGTCTTTGTGTATCAAAATGAAGAGTTTTACTTCAAATGAATACTTTCCAAGCTCTGGAGTTCAGAGGCTATGAGGTCCACACCAAAGGCAGCTATGAAGGTCCTATTGGATCTTCCTCCTTTACATATAATTATAAGGGGAGAGGCGAGGATGGGATATTATAGACTGCAGGAAAACCTGAGTAGCTTACTGGTTAAATCAGGACAGAGTAATATCATAAATGAAATTAGGTTTACCAAATGGATGATGATTTCTGACTGTATGATACCCTGATATAATCATAAAGTACCTTTCCAAATGGACATCAGCCCACAAGAGAGATAGGGCAGAGGAAACACTACCAAGACTGCAGGGATATACCTGATACAGACAGGTCTAAGAAACTGCAGAAGTTGTGGATGCTGTGGTGTTACCATTTAGAACCTCTAGTCTTTGCAGATTGTGTTGATGATGTTATCAGATCATAGACTGACTGAAACCTTAGCATATGCAGATGACATAAAATTATTTCATATTATTCGAAACTTCTGATTGTTAAGTGTTCAGAGGGTTATTTTGCTCAGGCTTTTTGAGTGTTCAGTTCTATGTATGTACATACATATCCCAGTTCCATCTACTGTTCTTTTTTTTAAGCCATCCACATACCACCTGATTATTTAGATCTAGAAATACAAAAGTAAAACTCTACAAACAATAATATACCCAATACATGCTGTTCAGAGACCTGAGAAAGGCAATCAATAGGGATGACTGGAGAGAAATTCTTGAGGAGACTAGATAGCATTCTTGTTTAGATGGCATTAGACACAATACCTATACAAAAACAGTAAGTACACATGTTTTGGCAAGGTCACTGTACATTAACTGTTAGAATATAACAAAATCAAACTTACATTTTCAGGATCAGAATCTGCAACAGGTTCTTCTTTAACATTCACTGATGCACTTCTTCTACCTGTAAACTTTCTATGTTTTGGTCCCCCAACATCACTGAGTGGGGACAAACCCGTACTAAGCCTCTGCAGCCTTACACTGACATTTTTATTTACACTTGATACACTATTTTTATTTACACTACCAGTACTTAATCTATCACGAACTGAAACCGGAGTATGTCTATTAGAATTTAAACTAGTCCTAGAAGAATTAAGTAAAGAGCTACTTTTTGTCACAACTGGCGATCGCAACGGCCTCCCGGAATTCGGAGTAGATTTATTATTACTGGAATTTAAACTGTTTCTCGTAGAATTTAAAGAGTTTCTCGTACCACTGTGCTTTACGTTAGAGGCTGGGGAGGAGTTAGTTTTGTTTGGGGTCGCCAGCACAGGCATAGTACCTCTTCGTTGATCAATTTCGATCCTCTTGGTTTGGGCAAACTAAAACAGAAAAAAATTTAAAAACATATGCTTGATTGATAAATGATTTTCCTTCAAGTATTACAAAAATCTACTTACCTTTCGCAAAGTTTTCGCTTGATTATATATATGAGACTTGGGTTCATTGTATAAGCATGCATTTTTGCACATTAACAATAAATCTCGTTCCATTTCAATAAGAAACCTATATTTATTAGTCTGCACTTTTGTGCTAACGGTTTTTAAATCGACTGGCTGCTCTACAACTTCATAATAGTCTGGATACCTTTTTCGAGAGGGCAGCACCTGAAATGCTGGATGCAACAACTTATTATTCTCATCTCTAGCCTCTAAAACGGCATTCAGGAGTTCCTCGTATGGATTGTCATCATCTTTTGTCTTTTCTGATGAACTATCGTCATGGTTTACATTGTTTCGAGTCTCTGCCCTGGTTAAACTACGTTTGGCATTTGACTGAGGTACTGGTGAAGATTGTTTAATTGGGGTTTTTTTATTATTTGTTACTGGGGTAGACTTATTATTTGTTATAGGTTTGTTGTTGGGTGTAGATTTGTTATTTGATAATTGTGTTGATCTCCTGGACGGTTGCGGTTCCTCTTCTCGTAACCTATAAATAAACATACAAATAATATATAATAGTTTTATTACATTTTGTTCAATTTTAATCAATTTTACCTAATTTTATATAATTTTAATTATTTTTATTTCATTTTAGTTTAAGTTTGTATGTAAAAAAATATATAAAATTATAGTATGTGTATATGTATGTATATTACGGTATACCACAAGGTTACTACAGCCGTCTCGATTTTTCGAGTCACGCTAAATAGGATATCAAGCCCATGCAAAACATCATACCGACTGATAAGAAGTATTCACTTCTAAAAATTGAAACTATTGAAAAAAATGAACTTACTTGTTTTTGCTAGTGATAAACAAATCGAGAATTTCTGCAGCATCTTTAAATTCTTGTGTATTTCTTTTATAATATGATTTGGTATTATTAACCAACAACTCTATATCACTCTGCAAATCGTCAATATCTTCATATTCGTCCATTTTCAGTTTTTGATGTATTTTTTGAAGATCTATGGGATTTTGAACAACATCATAATATTTGGGCTCCTGTCTTCTTTTTGGCATTCGAATAAAGGATTCACTGAGCAAAGTTCCATCATCTTTTTTGTGTGTTCTTAAGATCTCTACCAACTGATGACATATTTCCATCTAGAAATTAAATTAGATCCAGTTATCATATGAAATATTTAGTTATTTAATGAACAAAATAGTTGCTCTTTATCTGTGATTTTAAATGGACTTTTGAAATAAAATGTTAAATGTTTACTTCATTAATTAAAATTTTGTACAATACAACACTCTCGTTTCATAGCGTTGATATCATGTTGCAAAGTTTTTCTCAAACATTCTTCAAACAGAAAATTTTCTACATTAGCTCAAGAAATCATAATCGTTGAAGGTTTAAAACCCAGAAAAACCATACAGACTAATAAACTATGACCCAATTGCAAGCATACGTGGACTCTGACTGACTAAATTTATATCATTTATAATATAAGATATAGTAGTCCACTTAGGAATAATCACAAAATTTCCAAGCTACTATTTTGTTTGGTTACTATAAAATTTTTATCATACTAACAGGATCTGAAAGCTTTCTTCTTTTTTGTGCTGTGGGCCCACTACTGGTAGATGCTTCAAGGCTATCCAAGGAGTCCTCTTCTGTGTACCTGGGCAAAGAACCTGCCCTTCGTCTCTTACTCATGATGCTCCTGAAATATAAATGTCACTGTCATAGATTTTAACCAATTTTTTCTTTAAATATCATGTAATAAAAGATCTACTTCGGGACATAATTTAAAATGTTTATTCAAGTTTCCAGGGCATACTATGATACTTCAGAGACTTTAAAATATGCAAACTGTCTGGGACAATAAGCACAGAGTGCAATGGAAAGATACATCAACAGAACAGGACAATAAGCACAGAGTGCAATGGAAAGATACATCAACAGTAACGAAAGAAACAGACAGCAAAAAGTGAAAAATCAAAGCAGTCCTCATCTTATTAACTGAAGAAAAAGGAGTAGCAAACCCATCAACAAAACGCAGCAGACTCTGGTTACCAATACTGGAAGAAGAAGTCAGCAATAAGAATATATCAAGATTAATAGGTTAAAGAAAGCCAGAGGCACATTATCTACAATTAACTAATAAGCACACAAAACCAGAATATGATACCAATCTGGGGGTAAATCGACCTAAGAATTTCAACACAAAACATGGCTAACTGCACACAAGCTCGAGGCCAACTAAGTCCTTGATTGGAAATCGAAGTTTCAAAACAAATGTAACATGGAACACAAGAACACCTTTCAGAAAAACAAATTTCAGAACCTCTACAAAAATGCCAAATGTCAAAATCCAGATGAAATAAAACAGAAAGCTTATATGTTAAAATTAACGGAACAAAGTAAACATTGCTCTACATACAGTGGCGAATGGATTTAGTGTCCACAGTCATTTAAACACAAACAAACAACTCTACATACAGTAAACTTTCTTTAATCCAGCATGTTCAGAACTTGAAGGATGCAATAATATTTCAAATTATAGAATGAATATCAGAAAAAATATATAGAAGTGAAAATTAAACAAAATATAGACTTTAAAACTCTAAACCTAGTCATGGCTTTTTACTTCATCATGCTTTTTAGAAGAACTGTTCAAAATAAAAAAAAAACTGATAATTACTGCTGATTTGTGACTCTCATTTGATTCTTCTTAGTGACAGATTTAGTGGAACAGTAAATAAAATTGTGAGATTACACATTTGTGATGTGGAAATGTTTAAATTTTAGTTTGACATACTTTTTCACATATAACTACAAAGTCATACCAGATTACCAAGTGTCCCAGACCATATTTTATATTTTATTATATCTAGTTTATTATATCTAGTAATACCATCGAGCAAAAAGATAAAAGAGGGAATCTAAGCGTTATGAAAAGGAGACCAAAAAAGTGGCCTCTGATGGCGGACATATCCGGAAATGCAAAGGTGCTAAATTTAAATTTTCCAACACTTATTAACAATAGCTATAAAATATTTTTCAGACGAGAGAGTTTTAAATTAATTTAAATTAAATATTAACTATAATAGTCTAAAAAGTGACACAATTGGTAAAAAACTTCAGTATAAATAAAATTTCATGTGACAGTTGGGACAAACAATAACATAACCAAACTAAATTTGACTTTTCAAACAAGGAAAGAGACTGTCTTTCCTTGTTTAAAGTGGCCTCTCAAGATAGCACTTCCTGTCTAACAATATTTTTGTCCCCACTACCTTTACATTCCCTCTTTTATCTTTTTGCTTGATGAGTAATACAGAGTGTTTCACGAAGGGCTTACACTATCTATCAGAAACTACTTACATGATATTTATGAAAATTGGTTTATAAAAATTACAAGTCATGGCAAACTTAAAGAAAATATTTTGAGACATGCCACTTCCGGTTATACCTGAAGTGAACAGCAACTTAGTTATTTTAAATATTGTTGCATTTTTAGATTCTGCGTAAAATTCTAGAAAGACAGGTCAAAACTTCATACCTATATTTTGAAGTTATTCATCTTTTTTCATAAATTTTGGCAGATACAGAAAAACTTTTCAGTTAATAGCTTATCCATTTGCAAACATGTCTTTTGCACATAAAGAATTGATAACATCATCAGGAATTTACATCAAAATTAGTGATTACATTAAATCTTAGTGAAAAAATAAATAAATTGACTTTCAAATAGTTTTAGGGTTTTCTCAACCAAAGTTTCTTAAAAATTTTGGATATAATTGTTGTTTCATGTTAAATTTAAGATATTTATCATTTTATTTATGAGGCTGTGTATGAAGATGTCATAATTGTCATTATTTGCACTTCTACAAAGTGAATTGAATTTTTAAAATGAAGCAAATAGTCACATTTTGAAAATTTCTTTCTCAATTTTCAGTAAAGTGGGAAACAAGATATGTTTAATGGGTAATGTTATGAAAGATATCACACAAAATGTAATAATGTCTAACAGTAAGTAAATTTTAAAACTTAAACAATATTACATCTAAATAAGGGAGAAATCAGTGCGACATTAAAAAGGGATGGAAAGCCAGTGTGACATGAAGCAAACAGAAAGTGGTATATACAAGAAAGAAGGAATATTGTGGGTTATACAAGAATGTCAAATGGACAGAAAGCTTAACAGATTTAGGATTTTAAGAAATGGCTTGTAAAGAATGCATGCAGGTAAAGAAAAATCCATACATAATATAACAAATATACATTTAATATAAAAAATTACAATTATAATAATAATATTAAAAATATTACTTAGATAAGTAACAGCAAAAATTAAAAAATGAATAAAATTAATAAAAAAAATTAAAAAAGATGATAATATGTGATCTGAAAAAGTTGAGATCAAATTTTAACAGAAAGTATATTATATATTCAACTGTATAACGAGAAAGAATAGTAAACTAAAAAACAAACAACATTTAGATATCTTCATAATAACTTCAGTCATTATCATCATTATCATCGTGTGTATTAATAATTATAATGGGGTCTACTTTCCATCTATCAAATATTCTTTCTCATTTGTACCATTTTATTTCCTTTTCAAAATCTTGTATTGAATTTTTCCCTTATCATCATCATTGGTGGCTCGACAACCCTTTCTGGGTCCTGGCTTGTTCTAGGATTTTCCGTCATTCTGTTCTGTTCCTTGCTTTATTTTTCCAGTTGGTAATCTTAAGTGTTTTCAGATCTTGTTCCATGTATCTAAGTGTGGGTCTTCCCTTTGACCTTCACACTACTGGTGTTTGTCTTGAATGTTTCCATACTTGAGGAGTAATAGTTCAGACTGTTTCAAACAAGCTTGTTCTATATTACCATCTCTACTTATATTCCTATATTTTATGTGGAAATGCCCCAAATGAGTTCAATAGTGTTAATATTTCAATGGTCGCTTAGGTAGCTTATTTCTAAAAAGAATTATTTTCATTTATATGTACAAAATTTTGCATGATTATTTCATTTTCTACCTCTTGTTGATTAAACGTGACTTGCCTATTACTTTTTTCAATGAAGTACAGACCAATGATTCCCAAAATTGCACGCCAGATGCTCACTTTTGCATTATGTAAAGAAACTTCTTGAACTTCATCTAGTCTGACAAAGTCCAGAAGTCAGAAATTAATGCTCCACCAGAAACACTTTCTTCTCTGTACTTAAAACCATTTTTAACAATTAGGCCTTACTAATAATTCTTTAAGGATTACTTGACAGGTCTATACTAGTTAATTTGGGTATGATAAAGAGACACCTATATTTAAGTTTCTTCTTTTCCCTCTCAAGAAAGTCACTATTCTCGAAACTCAAACAAAAACAATGCCTTCACCATGCCCTAAACATTAACATAATGTTTGAGCTATTAAAAATATTGTATCCAGAAATTGAAGTAAAATTCCATAAGTACAGAAAAATATTCAAAGAATATTTTAAATTGCGCTTTGGAGTTCCTAGCTCCGATACTTACAAAGTGTGTGATATTTTTTTTATAAAACTGAATGCTGCAGTAGAAGAACTAAAGAAGATACATCACTAAAAAGCAGAAAGTGGATATTTATCTTTAAAAACTGATAAAGGAGCCAAGTTGAATTCTAATGTGATATCCACAAGAAAAACTGCAGTTGGATGTATACTGTGAATCACAAAAATTTTATTTAAAAATCCTTTATAAACGGGGTATAATTAAAAAAACCCTTTTGGGCTACATCACACAATGTTTTCGGACTAAAAAGTCCATCATCAGTGTATTATTACCAGATGTACATGTACAAGCCACTAAATATCTCTGTAAAAACCCTTAAAAAGTTACAACATTTGTATGTTACATTAATCTGTTGTATGTTACAGTAACACAACACACAACACAAGTTACAATGTGTAACATAGTTTCTCACATTTCTAGAATTATATTCAGACCACATAGAATTTGTTTTGACAGAAATAGCTGAAGACAAACTGGGTAAAAAAGAGAAAGAAAACAACGAAAAAAAGATATCCTGCAAGCAAGAACTGTAGAAAGAAGAGCACACTGACAATAGCAATATCAAACAATAAATAAATCAGTTAATAATTGGTTCTTCGATATTCATATATTCAGATATTCATCAATGATATACACCACTGGTTCCAGTACAGTTCACCTCTTCTTTTTGCGGATCTAAAGTTCTACACAATTATCAATAATACAGAACATTGTGTTAATCTTCAACACAATCTTGATGGGTAGAGTGAGTGGTGTGTGTTGAATGCCATGGCCCTGAACACATGGAAATAATGGAATATAATTATAATATATAGAACATTCTTGTTGACTAGGTTACTGAAATTTGTGATCTGGGAATTAATTTAAACTCTAAACTTTTATTTGAATCTCATTATATATCAATAATTTCCAAGTCTTTACAAATGCTTGGCTTTATAAAAATATTCACTAGAGACTTTAAGAATATTGAAGCAATTAAATTACTATATTGTTTTTTAGTCAGACCCCATCTAGAGTGTTGTTCTTGTGTATGGTCTCCATCTTATAATATCATCAGTTGACAAGTAAAATGCACAAGTACAAAAATTATTGAAATTTACATTTTATCACCAAATGCATTAATGGTTTAAGATATTTGCCTGCAAAAAGTCACTAGCAACAAACATTGTTTCAACACAGACTTTCAATTTGAAAATTTTCATTATTTGCAAATTTTACTAAGATCCTGTCAGGTAAAAGTCATTATTGCATACTATTTTATGGATTATGTTAGTTCAGTTAGTTGACTTAATCAGTATTTATTGTTGTTTGCCATTCTTAAGTTGTAATAATTACTTTAATAAGTGAAAATTTGTTTAAAATTCATTTACATTCCTTCCTTCTTTCCTTTATTTAGTGTACCTTCTATTATAGCATGAGTTTTTAGCCAATGTTTCGGTAGGTAAAATTCACTAATTACATTTTTCTCAAAAACTTCAAAAATACAAAATTTTTTAATAAAAACTTTATAAGATAAGGTAGCTTAAACTTTTTCTTACAATAAGTACATTCTGTTACGACATTGAGTTTATATTCAGTCCTTCCTTTATTGAGTGTTCCTTCTGTTAAGCATGAATTTTTAGACAATATCTTGGCAGGTAAAATTCACTAATTGCATTTTTCTCTAAAACTTGAAAAATACACAATTTTTTAATATACACTCTGTAACATAAGATAACTAAAACTGTTTCTCAAAATAAGTAGTCTGTTATAACATTGAGTTTACATTCCTTCCTTTCTTCATTGAGTTTACCTTCTGTCATAGCATGAGTTTTTAGACAATATTACTGCGGGTAAAATTCATTAATTACATTTTTCTCAAAAACTTCAAAATACCCAATATTTTAATAGAAACTATAAGATAGAGTAGCATAAATTTCTCAAAATGGGTTTCAAATTAGGTTTCTCAAAAAAATTATCTTCTGTTCAAACATTGATTCAAAAATGGATATTTTACATTAGAATATGCTTTAAGACTCTAATATCTCTGTTCTTTCAATATGGTACTTAGTGAGTTTTACTTATCACCTGACGAGATTTACATATCAAAAAGTGAGACAGTGCAACAGAAGTTCTTGAAATATTTATTAGCATATAAACAGGGTATACCTTTTCAATTAAATCAAATAAATTATGATCAAATTGAAACATAACTTGGTATTCTCTCATTGTAAGACCACTGATTAATTAAAGATGCAAAGATACTTCGAGGTATAATTAATTCTACTTGTGTTCTCAGCTACTTGAGCAGGTTAGTCTGCATGTACCTCTACGTAGAACACAATTAAACCAAACTTTTTATGTTCCTCTTCACAGAACCAACTATGCATATATTTTATCTCAAGCACTAAGATGGGCAAATATTCACCCAGATCTAGATTTTTTCTCACCGAAGGCCGAATTCAGATCTGGTCTCAGTCATGTGTTTATTTGAGTGGCTGTGGAATAGGTAATCATTTGGATGTGTAAAACTAAATTATGTGATTAAGTTTGTGAAATTTATACTTTTATTATTGTTATATTTATACTTATATTTTTTTGTTTTATTGTATACATTGTAAACATTGTTAATCTTTTGGGCAGCAGCTGGTTGAAAATAAATAATTCATAATTGAATTATAAACAACATGTTTTAAAATTTTTTACAGTTTGATGTAATAGTTTCACAGGTAGCACAGATTCGATAAAATCAAATATTTCAACTTTGAACTTATAGTTGACACTTCTTTTATATACAATCTGATCATCATAGCGAGTCAGAATAATAAAGCAAAAGATAAATTTAAGAATAAGGTATGAGGGATAAACAATTCACTGGAAGTTATGTTATAACTAATGTCTACAAGTATTCAATTAATTATTAAATTGCCTATGATAATGTAAGTAACTCTTTTGTGGTAAGATAGTGAAGTTTTTGGTGAGGTTATGCTAGATATTATGCATTATATACAAATAAAAGATATAGCAAAAGCATAATTTTAATCTACTATTTCTTGTCTTATTTCATTGTTTTAAAATCACTGTAACATAAAAATTAAAAATACAATCTCAAAATAAAAGAGCCTTTGCAAAATTTTATATTTGATGGCTATCTGGACAGATTTAGGTTGTTGGAAAAATAAATAGTATTAGTTGTAGAATAGTATTGGACAATTTAAAAATATTTAACATATTGGAATAAAAAGACCAAGTACCTCATTTACACAAAATGAGAAAACCCCATACAAAATATTTATATCAGAAATATAACAATGCTATGTCAACAACACATCAAGTTACTTGTGAATTGGAAATTGGTAAATTTTGATATGTCAAAGTTCTTTCTTACTAAATTTTATCCGGTTACATTTTTGTATTTCTAGTACTGTTCTTTGTAACGCATACGGCATAAAAGACACTTCACATACAAACGTTTCACTCAAATATAAATAAGTCTAATGTTATGGTAGTACACTATGTTTGGTTCAGCATTTTTAGCTTTTATAACATGTTTGAAGGAAAATATGCAGTCCAGCAAGTAAAGGAATGCATACTTCAACACAAACACCAGACTAACAAACGAAAACAGAATAACAAAAGGCATACCTTCGTTTTTTTGCTGCCCTATTCAAAGAGGTTACCTTTCCAACATTGGTACGAAATCTGCAATGTATTTACGCTCAGATCGTTTTTCTAAATATTAGGTATCGATAAAAGCATCAAACCATTTAATTAACATGCTGGAATACTAAAAATGACAAAAACACAAATTATATAAAATTAGGCGCGACAAGCGACTCATCACTCAATTCGATATTTATACAATGGCGGCTAACGATGTTTAGATAGAGCGAGAGCACGCGTAAAATAATTCATGAAACGAAGATGGAGACAATCTGGTTGAAATAGACAACGCCATTTTGAAACGTTGCCTTTGGTTCAAAATTTCATTGAATAAATAAATATGGTAAAGAGTGTAGTTGATACTTTTATTTCATAACTACATTTTGTTATTAATTTATTTAAACATAATAACATCATACAACCATATTTAAGATATTTCCGAATCGATTTTATATTATTTATATTTATAGTGAGTTGATAAGTTTGAAGTAATGGGAAATATTACTCGATTTTCAAATTAAAAAAGTGAAAGCTATTAGCCGGTTAGTTTATGCAACATTAAAAGCGATATTTCATCATACATGTTGCATATACATTTAATTGACCTTGTCAAGTTGGGAAATTTGAACTACGTTTGAACTCCCCTGCCTATTTTTGAAGCTACAAGCGTAAAATAAAAAGGTACGTAGCGTTTGTACCAAGTAAGTAAAGGTGGCTGTGACCAAGTACAAAAGTTTATGCACTTGGTGATTTAAGTCTGTAATGACGTATAATAAACAACTAATTTATTTGGTATAATTTTTTCTAGATGTATAAATGATATCAATAATATAATAAAGTCGTTCAGGGAATATGCTTTTGTTTTTACAATGGTTCTAACGTGAAATCTACAACAAGGAATTACATACATTTCTCCATTGCCATCTTTAGATATCTGAAACTAGATGGCACTGAGATAGAGCTGAATATACCCATTAGATTACGAATTTTAGAGATTTTATTACAAAAATTCTTAAGAAAATTGATTATAATGTACGTTATTATATACCTACGTGATATGCTCAAAACGAAATAATCATCATCATCAGTGGTGCTACAGCTCTAGTTGAGCCTTGACCTTCCCCAGTCGTTTCTGTTCATCGCCAACCGTTGCCAATTTGCCGCGCCGATTTTCCTTGCATCCTCGTCCACACCGTCCCTCCATCTCAGTCGTGGTCTGCCTCTACTCCTATTTCCCACTGGGACCGATAATAGAGTTCGTCTAGGTGGGTAATTTTCATTTGCTCTTGACACATGTCCAGCCCATCTAAGCCTACCTATTTTTATGAAGGATATTACATCTCTACCATTTACTATTTTTTTTATACTTCTCGTACAATTCGAAATTATATCGCCTTCTCCAAATACCATTCTCACAGAATGCGCCCATTATTCTTCTTAGTATCTTCCTTTCGAAGACGAGCAGAAGATTTGCGTCTGTTTTGGAGATGGTCCATGTTTCTGACCCATATGTCAGCACTGGTAGGATGAGTGTTCGATATATTATTAGTTTGGTTTTCTGGCTTAAATTTCTGTTTTTTAGCTGCTTGCTTAGTCCAAAATAACATTTGTTTGCTAGCAGTACCCTCCGTTTAACCACCGAACAACTTGTTGTTCGGTGGTTTAACTTCTTCAGATGTGTCAAAACGAAATAATAGATATTATGTTAATATTGTCTATTCGCTTAGCTAGGGCATATTTTGACAGACTCATTGTTGGAAACCTACAACACAACAATTCCTACTTCTCAGTATTAATAGCTCAAGTATACTACTATTGCAGACTTCTTTCTTTGAAAAAAAGAAGAATTATTCTAAATAGTGGATATGTATACTAAACCCATCAAATTTTCCCTGTATAAATATAATATTTGAATTGTTACAATTAATCTTTTGTTAATAATAATTCTTTTGTTAGTTCTATTCAGTTAATTAGTTAATTATATTTTAAATTTTATTATTATGGATAGTCAAAGTTTTCCATTTGTTCCATCAGCTAATGCGTTGGTAAGTTTTTCTTAAAAAATATGATAAAATGTTTTTTAAAAGTTAATATTTTTAGATTAGTTGTTTTTAATTTAATATAAACTTGTTTATACTTACATGGAGGTTTTTGTTGTTTGTTTGGGTTTATATGACTGCAGACTGCGGCCAGGACACTGAATTCATTCACCATATGTGGAAGATTTTAACATCCTCAAATGCTAATGAGCAAAAATTACTATTGAACCACGAATTTGCCTAGTCAAATTACTAATATTTGCTTTTAGCATATGGAAGTACACTTATTTTGTAAGATAATAAAACAACAGTTTATGTTAATGCTATCCAATGAATTGTTAATCTTTAATCATTGATTCCATCCTAGTCACAACATAAGGAACTTGCTATGTCTTATTTAACCTCACTTTGACTTTTTAATTTTGTAGAATTTATTCCCACTTTTTTTATTTTGTACAATAAATAATTTTATTATTTGCTATCAATACATTATACGGTGTAAATAAATAAATATTGATTGTCGGCAAAGTTCTATTTTATTTACTTTTGTTTACATTAATATTGACTAAGAGCACGTATGCTTGGTTGTATAGTAATTTCCAGCCACTTCGAGTCTGTCAAAAAGTAACTAACTTCGCAAAAAAATAATTACTAAAATCACTAGACAGTTCGGACTGGGAATAGCGAACCGGGTATAACGAACATGTACGGTTATATATATATATATATATATATATATATATATATATATATATATATATATATAATATATATATATATTTTCTTTGAATAAGAATTTAGAATTAAATGAATTAAGATACCAAATGAATAAAGAATTATAAAGTAATTGTCCAATTTTTAATATTACTTGGATTGAAAAATGCTAACGAGTGGGTTCTCTTTTGTACTTATTACGAATAGATTAACACACTTTTTTTTTCAGAAGTTGTGGATCAAAAAGACTTTTGGAGACAAGATCGTGGGAGGACTCTTTTGTTAAATACAAACCAAGACTGGCATGATCCGAAGTTTTAATTTTGATACAATTTAACATGCCATAAGGGTGATATCGAACAACTCTTGTTAATAAGTATAATAGTACCGAGTTGAATTTTCCACATTTTAGCAGGTTATCTAAAAACCAAAACTTATTAAAGAAATTGACTAGAGACGTGAAGGTGTTGACATATATTCTTAAAATTAATATAACTGTTGGCATTTCGCGTAATTGAACAGGTTCTCAAATAGTGTAGGATAATGTTGCTTTTGAACTGACTGGTTTAGATTTCTCTGGACAACAAAACTTATAATTAGAATAAATGGAATACAATTATTAGATGTGCTGCATATCCAGTGATTTTGCAATGGAGACACCTCGCTGGGAGCTATTTGATGATTCCAGTTGATACATATGGAACTCACTTTAAATTTAACAGTTTTTGGTGACCGAAATGGAGTGCCAAAACTGTATAATGACAAAGAAAAAAATTACATAATATTGATAATGTCGTTACAAATCTGATCATATGATATCTATTGGTATTAAAGTGATGGCAAACATTGTCAGAAAAGGAAAGAAAATTTAACAAACCAACGCTATCAGTTCTTCGTCTAGTAAAATCTATTGAGTGTCCTAACCGTAACGTAACAGCAGAGAACTGGTTTACATTCTTAGAAGTGATAACTGAGTTGAGGAACCGAAGCCTAACTTACGTGGGTACTGTTAAACAAAATAAAAGGAAGATACCTATTTTTTTTGCCAACTAAAACGAGGCTCACGGAATCATCTCTATTTGAATTTGGTGATAAAGTTACATTAGTTTCATATGTACCTAAACCACGAAAAGCGGTACTTTTGACGTCTTCAATGCACTACAGTAATGCAGTAAACGATGAAACAAACAAACCCGAAATTATCGAGTTTTATAATCAAACAAAAGGAGGCGTCGATGTATTAGATGAAAAATGTACAGTGTATTCTACACATCGTAGAAGTCGAAGATGACCTCTTACTTGTTTTTATACAATTTTGGATATTTCTTCCGTCAATGCGTTTATAATATACTCATCCCTACCTGGAAACCCTCAAAAGTCTAGGTATGAATTATCAAATCTCTGACTAGGCAGCTTGTGCAAGATCATATGGAAAGAAGATTAACTATTTCTCAAATTCCAAGGCAACTGAGACATAATATCGCTTCCATTTTAAAAACAGACATTCCTAAACAGAAAAATGCAATTTTAGAAAAAGGAGTAAGGTGCTCAAAATGTACACGATCATTGGATAGAAAAACGAAGATAGTTTGCGTTAGTTGCAAAGCGCCAGTATGCCACATATGTGAAACACATTTGCAAAGATTGCCTATAAGAATGGATTGTAGTTTTATGACGTTTTTTGTTTTTGGTTATTTTTTGTGTTGGTAGGTTAGATTGAATGTTTAATTTTATGTTTTAAGAAAAACATAAACTAGGATATAAAACATAAACTATAAACAGGATAATGTTTAGTTACAAAATAACTAAGTTTTTGAGGCTGTTTCTTAGTTTTATTATTTTATGCGTGATAAGGATTTCAAATATTTGTTAAATTTATGTTTATAACAAAATAAACGTCTTTAAGTTATAGTTTATTCGTCTTCCGGGTTTGGACCGTGTCATTTGTGAGTGACCCAAAAGTGGGTTCATCTGAACCCACTGAAAAGAGATGAACCCACTTTTGGGTCACTCACAAATGACACGGTCCAAACCCGGAAGACGAAATAAACTATAATTCTGACTCTGGGGCCGTGGAAGCCTACGATTTCATTCGTCTTTAAGTTATTGAAGTCATTTTTTTTAAATATAAACAAATATCAGTGTGTAATTTTGCAAAACAAATTGGGGTCAGTGTGACCCCAACTCACCATACACGTAACAAAATATGGCCCTCACCAGTTACGGGTTAAGGATTGGTAAAGCAGCAGGCTTGGATGACATCAGAAATGAAATCATTAAAAGTATGAGCAGTACGAGCACCGAAAAGTGAAAAGGTACCTCGCCACTACCTTCTAAATTTTGGTTTTCACAACTTTATTGCCTTGTTTGTCTGCTAGTACTTATACCTTCATGGTCCTCGTCCTCTTGTAAGTAATTAATTGTCACTCTGATCACTTACATGTGTTTCTAGACAGAAAAATGTACGGATGTTGCCCCTAAATGTATTTATACAAACTTAAATTTATTATCTTCTGCTTACAGCTCATTGTACCATTGAAGTAATTTTTGTTCATTTTTAGGATCCATATTTTACAATAAAAATACTAGGAAACAACCTAAATACATTTACACTACAAAATAACTAAATAATTAATTAAAACACAAAAAGTATTATGTTCTGGTTCATTCACATACCATGTGAATCCCCAGTGATCACGAGCAAATCCCACCTAAAAGTTAGTCCTTTAGTACAAGTTGGGTTATGTATTATTTATTTTGAATTTATTGTGTGGGAGTAACTAACGATTCAAAAGAAGGCTTATTCTAAGGCCTGCTTTAATTACGTTTTTTTGATATCTCGATATAAGTACGCACGTATTTACATAACAAAATATTATATATGTACAACGAAGAAAACAAGAAAAATAATTTATTGAATTCAAACAATCAACATCAAAGAAATAAAAACGCATTTCATACAAAAATTGAGTTGAGGCTATGTTTATTTGAAGGTGCATTTGTGAATAGACTACCTGAAACAAATAAAACAAAATTAACAATATAAATAGACAAATAAAGAATGATATATAGAAAAGAAAAGTACTTTTGAAGTGTGTAAAATTTATTTCCTATTAGCTGAGCCTTTTGACTCAGCTCAAATAAATAGAAAAGTTTTAACAACGATGATGTATAAAATAAACATTTTTAACTCTTTTTTTCCTTTGTTGCGAACTATGCCGATACCTATTAACTTTATTTTGTTATTAACTCGCATTAACCCTTTCTTGTTGTTTGAGGCGTTCCTTTCCTCAGGTAGCCTAGCTTCCTCCGTGGATGTATCAGTTCTTGCTCTGGAGTCTTCTAACATTATTGCCACCAATTGGTCGCATTACTCCTATAGTGATCCTTTCCCCAGTTAACATGCTCCTTTTTTAATTTGGCTGCACCTTACTGAAGACAACCAATAGTCAGAAATACGTATATATGACTTTGCCTTCCATTTTATACACATATTTTTGTATTATTATATTTTTTTTCCTTTGTTGCGAGCTATGCTGATACTTACTAACTTGATGACAGAAAACAGAAAGGTAAGTTAATCTCTGAAAAGAAAATACCATAGAAGACCTTTGGACCAATCAATGATAATGTGATATAAAAATCCAGATATACAGTGGGTGATCAAATTATTAGAGCCACCTAGCAAAATTCAATTTTTTTTTTACAAAAAGGGTACTTATATAATTCAGTTGTATAGTATATTAATGCTTTTGTTTCCGTTTTATTATCTTGTAACACTTTATTAAAGTACAATAAATAAATAAAATAAATAGTCTGACCACAATGGCAACACAGCGGGCGTGGAAATTCGTGACTCAGGTGCCATTGTTTGTCAATGCTATCTAGCCTAGCTTGCAACTCGTGTGCTTATTGTTTTGTATTCTTGGTGTTTAAAGTTATGATAAATAGTTTCCATTGCTCTCTAATGATATTCTGACAGTCGTACACTATTTTTTATGAATTTAGAAAACATTGCATGTTTGTTACACCAGTGGTATCAGAACATCATAGGAGAAGCTAAAAACATCTCGCCAAGAAAAATAGTGAAAATAAAAATTTTAGTATTGAACATTAATCATTCCAACAGAAAAATAGCATCAATTTCTAGAGTTTCAAAGGTAACTGTGGACTGTATAAAGAAAAAATTTGACAAAAATATCGATTTGACCCCACAGGATAAACAAAAATATGGTCGAAAAAAAAACTACAACGCCACGAGATGAAAGAAAACTTCGAGATATTGCATCGGCACACAAAAAACCTTGAATGTTTTGAACGAAAATAATGCGTGAGTCTGGCACCAGTATTTTACCAATGACAACTCATCAGCAAATAAAGGATCTGGGGTTTTCAACCGGTCGTCCTGCAGAAAAGCTGCTACTCATACCAGCCATAAAGAAAAAAAGCTTCAGTGGGCTAAAGATCACACAGATTAGACCAGTGATACTCAACCTGCGGCCCGCGGGCCGCATGCGGCCCTCGGGCGTTTTTTATGTGGCCCAAAGGCCAACTAAGAATTTTTGACTTTATCTACATACGTATTTATAAAATCTTACATTAAAAAAAAAATACGATTATATTAGATATTTTTGTAATTTATTATGACAATGTTTTGAGAGTAGCTTGTAGTAATTACGTACCAGATTTATCTAAAATTGTTGATAGTTTGCGTCAGTGTCAACCAAACGAGTCCGTTTTTTTGTAGAATCCACACACACAGATCATATATTATTATAACATAAATGTTTCGAACTTTACGCGATCCCTCTTCAGGTTACAGTCGTAACTATGATTTTTTTTTAATGGGAAAGTACAGACATCATGTGATACCTCATTTAAACGCTTTTGAAATACATTTTTTTTCGAATCATGAGAAAACTAATGAGTATTTTTGAAAAAATTTAAACGCCGAATGAAGGATCACATTATTGTATGTATTTGAAATAAAAAATCATACTAAATTTTCTCTTTGTTTTCACCCCTGCGGAGCCGTGGGGTACATCTTTTAATATGATGCAAATGCCGCCTCTTTATATGATTGAAATTTAACTTTCATTTTTATGCATTTTTTATCAAATCCTGAGAAAACTAATTAATATTTTTGAAAACTTTAAATGCAGAATGAAATATTTCATTATTACCCAGAGCCTAAATTCCCTTAGAATAAATAAAAAGTTTCTTTTGAATGAAATATTTGAAATTAAAAATCACAATAAATTTTCTGTCCTATCACCCCTGTAACTTATTAAAATAGACATAGAAATTTTCAGGGACTTTCTGCCCTCGGTAATAATGTAATCTTTCACTCTGCGTTTAAATTTTTTCAAAAATACTTATTAGTTTTCTCAGAATTCGAAAAAACCAATGCATTTTTATCCTGGCTCGCTTTTTATCCTGGCTTGAATTTCATTTTCAGCTGGAAATGCAATACATATACATATATATATATATATATAAACTTTTCTGCATATGCATTAAATTTTCATTTGGTCATTAGCCATATTATCTGTAACTTTTCGTTTTGTCTATAGTTTCTGACAACAATTTTACACAGCCTGACATTTTTTTTTATTTTACTGATTATGCCGCCCCCCTTGTGATGCCTCCTGATGCGACTGCCTCGCCGTATCATAGCACGGCACGGCCCTCCACCTCTGTAACTTATTAAAATAAACTTCCCCTGTAACTTATTATATTCTGCGTTTAAATTTTTCCAAAATTCTTATTAGTTTTCCAATAATTAAAAAAATTAATGCATTTAAAAAGCATTTGATCGAAATTTTGCGAAAGTATTATACATTTTTGAAATCAGTATTTTGAAAATAATATATATATATATATTATATATATTATATATATATATATATATATATATGTGTGTGTGTGTGTGTATGTGTATTTATACTACTTTACCTAGATTGCGGCCCGCAAGCTGTGGCAATAGCTACTATGCGGCCCAGTGAAAAAAAAAAGGTTGAGTATCGCTGGATTAGACCATTGATGATTGGAATAAGGTAAATACCATTGCTTAACATTGTTTTTCATTTATGTAGTTTACAGTTGATCAATTTGCTCATGATTCTAAAATAATAATAATATTCCAGGTTTGTTTTTCGGACAAATCTACTGTGCAGATTCTCATGGATAGAGCTGAATTTGTAACGGGAAGACCTGAGGAAAAAGATAAAACTGATTGTATTGTAAAGACTGTAAAGCACCCCTAAACATCATGGTGTGGTCCATCAAAAGCAGTCAAGAAATCGGTAGACTATATTGTCGAAGGAGCAATGCGGCATGACCAGTACTTAAGAGTACTGTAAGCAAAAATGCTTATTGACAAGACTCGACGTCTTGTCATAAGGCAAAAACTGTTACAAAATCTCTTGCTAACAACCAGACAACTGCCCTGGGAACTCGTCAGATATGAATGCAATAGAAAATCTTTGGAAGCTCATGAATGAGAAATTTTTAATAAAATCATAACTACGAAGTGTCAATTGATCGAGCGCTTAATAGTAGAATGGCAGAAGAGTGGAACAATTCCATAAAATTGCCAGATATGGATAGAAAGTAAGCCAAGAGGGTGCCAGGCAGTCATTCCCGCAAAGTAGGACACTAACAAGTATTAGGCTTAAGGCATAATTTGAAGTGTTTTCATGTAATTACTCGTTTCTTTTTAATATTTATAAACTTTATAAGATTCTAAATCACAGTAAAATAGATTTAAGCACAAAAATATGTTTTATAGCTCAATTACATAGCAATTTTAAACAAAAAGTAAAATTTTATGGGGTCGCTCTAATAATTTGATCACCCACTGTAACCATAAACTTTACCAACTGTTCAAAGAAACATGTAGTAAGGATGAGGTTGACATATTGCCAAGAATAGCTCGACAGTAAAATGTATGACTGAAGAACAAAAGAAAAGAAGAAAGAATGCAGTGGAAAGGGACACGAAAAATCTGTAAGTCAGAACCTTAGGACAAACAGTGAATGATTGGCAATATTAGAGAAATACTGTGAAAAGAAAAATATTATAGAAATACAACTAAAGTTAACTGCATTGCTGACCAAATTGGCTAGGAAGGCGGCAGCCCTAAGACTCTTAGGACCTGGGGATCTTTTTGGTTGGTCAACTACAACAATCGCGGAAATTGTCAAATGTTACTCCCATATGCAAACCGTAAAAATATGGGAAAAAGGGCAAGAATGTAAACTTGCCAGGGTAACACTAAGTAACCTTAAAGAGTCAGCATCAAAGAAGTACTTGGGAATGACCAGGAAAAACCTACGCTTGACAGTTGGTCTTTTAACTGGTCATTGTCAACTAAGCAAATACCTCCACACACTGGGGCTAGTAGACACACCTCTATGTAGGAAGTGCGAACGAAAAGATGAAACTGTAGAGCATGTCCTATGTGAATGCCCGGAGTTCGCGTTCGGCGAGTCCTGGCCCACACTTGCCCACACAAGAGAGATGCCTCTGGTCCACCTTCCTAGAAATGGCAGGATGGACAATGAGCTAAGAGCGACAGCCCCTGGGAGGATGCACAATGGATCAATTGTGGCCTAAATGCTGTGAAACTTAACTCGCCCTCCCTATTCTACGGATACAACTAAAGTTATAAAAATATTTACTCACACCTATAGAAAATACTTACCTATAAAATGTTTTTTAGCATTTTCTTCGTTTGATATTACTTTACAATCTTTAATTTCGACTATTTGAAAATCTAAACATCTGAATTTCTCATCGTTTTGGTAAAGTTCCCTTAACGCTGAAGGAGCAAAATAAGGACGTCCGGAAAAGGGGTTTATAAAATCTGCCCAGTAACCAACATTTCTTAATTTATCACAAATACTTTTGGCAGCGATTAAAAACTGAAAAAGAAATAGCGTTATTAATGTAACTCAGTTTTGTTGATGTTATTTTTAGTGTAAGATTAAGTTGCTTGTGTCAGAAAATATATCTTTTTATGTGAAACATCTATTGACTCGCTTTGGATGTGCCGTTACACAAACGGAATTATCCCCTTCAGGATTCAATGTTCCCTTACCACCGATCCGTTTAAGTTTGTGTATTGCGTGTACCCGATATAAAGAACTAATGAAATGCTGATTATAATTCTCCAATTCATATTGGTATCTGCGAGATTGGTATGGTATTGATACAAGCATGCTATTTAAAGTGGCAGTGAATAGAAATAAGATACTACTTAGCTATGATGCTAACCAACGTTCTGAACGGACATAGTACATTAGAAGGATATTTATAAATCGAGACTATAATACCGGGTTGTGTTGTGGCTCATGTAATTTTTGTATCTTTTCTTGTTTTATGATATTGTTACGATAAATATGACTCATAAACTGTAAACACCTTTTTTTATTCTGATATTTTTCTAGATTCTCCGACCCACGGGTCCCCTATTATACCTGCGATTCGAATTCGCAGGTAAACTTTTAATTTTAAAACTTAAAAATGTATCATATTTACAATATTCAAAGTATTTATTTTTTTTTTTATTACATGTAAATAAAATTTTATAACTTTGAATTAAAAATGTTTGTTCCAACACTACGAAAAAAACCGTCACATAATGTTTTATTATACTGTTTTCTTGCCCAAAAATTTACAAAACATTTTAAAACAATTTCAAAATTTTTCCCTAGAACCATAAGTTATGATATCCATTCAAGTTGCTGTCACATGTCTAGTGGTATCAGTTTTGTTTAAGACTCAGGAATGTGCACCCTGAAAAGATATTTCAGAGCCTCTTCACAATTTAAAGTGTATTCACCTGACTTATTTTGGAGCGAGGGAATACTTATTTAAGGGTCCTTTGAGAAAACTTTATAGAACCCTGACATTTCTTCCTTGATATGCTCATTGCCCGTCTCGATGGTCTAAACAAGACACCTCATCTACGGCATGGCATTTTTTAACAGTTTGGTGTTTGTACTGCCCCAGGTCAGATGGTAGGCATTCATGTCATAGCCAATGATTAATTGCAGTTCATTTTTCATGCAATATCTCAGTAACTGTTCCAACTCCCTTGATGGTTGTCGGATCATCATATGGGAGGTATGCTTGATTTTGCCTCTTTAGATGGGTCCTGATGGTTTCTTCATCAAGTTTTTTCTCGAGGATGAGGGTGAGGACCATGGAGGGCTTGGGCATATTATTTGGAACAATTATATTTAAGTTTACTCCCTCCCACAGGCCCTCAATAGTCTTCATCACTTCAGTTGTCCATTTTTTTTTTGTATACTAGTTAACACAGTGTCCCTTCGATAAAAATGTTTTATGGAACTGTAGAAGTCCATTTGGACCTCAGATAGAAGCCCCATCAAGTGCTTGCTCCAGTTTGTTAATGATCAAATTTGCTTGAGCCCAATCTAGTTGAGTATCCGGATGGTGTCTGTGTGCTATCACCATTATAAATACTTTTGTCAGGGTGCTTTACTAGTCTACTACTACTAGTTTTTTTTTATCTAGTCTGTTCATTAGAGCCACTTGGTTTCTTAGCAACTCGTTTACGAGGGGGGTGATGGTATTCTCCTGAAACCTTTTTTATTGTTTGGTGTTGCTGATTTGGATTTCTTGGGATTTGCTATGATCTAGGTCCCAGCAGCCATTTTTGCCTTTTTCTTATCTTCCTTTGTTGAGCTCTAGTGAGGCGTTATTTGAAACTTACTTATTTTTTTTTTTTAAATTTAAAAATCCGATCAAATCCTATCAAGATCAGGAATTATTTTTTGATTGAAACACCTTAGAATTTTTTAGGGTTTTTTTCCCAGTGATTGACTTTTAATTAATTTTGTTTATAAAAATTTATTAAAAATCCTTTATAAAAGGTATAATTCAAAAACCCAATCGGGCTATATCACAAAACGTTTTCGGAATCTATATTCCATCATCAGTGTGTCTAGGTGTACATGTATTAAGCCACTAAATATCTGGGTAAAAACCAGTTAAAAGTTATCTGTTTAAATTTAGTTTACATTATATGGTATTATATATTAAGATGTCAAAGTTATCAGTGGATTTGGTAACATGGCGACATATGACTCCACATGAAGTTGCTGGTGTGACCAGCAACTTCATGTTCGCTATACATGCAAGCAGAAATGTCATGACAAAATCGAGCCTGTACAGTAGAAGCACCTTTTTGATAGATTTTATGTAATGGAGAACTTTGACTTACAATCATCATATCTCTTCTTTCTAGTAAAAATTTCAGGTAAAAAATTTTACCTGACAATTGGATTGATCGATTAATATTATAAGAGCGGCAAGAAAAAGAAATTCCTTCAAAATTATAAGAATGAATAAAGAATACTTTTATTCAACAAAAAATTTGGAAAACAATATTAGTAATCGAAAATTCACTACTACAAAGTCAAAAGTTAAGTGGTTGAGTATTCAATGGCTTTCATATTATAAGCTACTTCCATTCAGTTTCTGTTTTAAGTACAGTAATAATATTGATGTCTTGTTTTACAGTGTTGACTTTTATGTTTGATCTTTTATATTCAGAGGGAAAATAAATAAATGTTGGCAAGAAAAAAGATTTGGTGGAGCTTCTTCAATATATTTCTCCAGTTCATCATGAATTTTATCAAAATATTAAAGACAGTGCATCTGAGCAAATTGATTTTAATGTAGGCCATCACCATCTATGTTGATGACATAGATTATTTGTAAATTAATTAGCTTCTAAGGAAACTAGGTTTAATGTCATCATCATCTTTGGCTCGACAATCCTCTGTGGATCTTGGCCTGCTCTAAGATTCGTCGCCATTCTGTTCGGTTTTTGGCAACATGTTGCCATCTTCTGATTTTTAATATTCATAGGTCGGTTTCCACTCCATCTAACCACCTAATTTTTAGGTTTAATGTAACCATTAAAATATATATGAGATATTACTTATTTTTAAAGATTTAAACCAAATTTAATCATCTTAGTCAAACAATTGAACACTGTTAGCCTTTGATCAGTTTCCTTGATTATGTAAAGCAATGTTTTTTTATCAGTTAGATCACTCTGGTTCTCATAGTCTCATTTTATATAATATAAAATTATATCAGTTAAAGCCTGACTTATATAATTATTAAACAATATAAACCAACATTTAAACCTTAGAAATACATGAAATTTTAACACACATAGCCATGCAATTTGCAATTGCCTCCTTACCACCAATTATGAGCATCTCTCAAACAATACATGGCACATAAAAATCCATATTTAAATATTAGAAATGTTCAACAGTTATGTGATATCCTTTTTAGAGTTTGATGCTGATCAATGGAAAAAACAATCTAAAGTATAAAAGTAAACTATACATAAATAGTTGAAAGAATCATGAGAAAAAGTCAAAAATTAACTTGTTAAACAATCTTATCACTGTTTACTCTTGGTTTCTTTCCAAACTAATATTTTAAGTAACAATTGGGTACACCCTTGGGAAATAAAATATTGATGGTTATTTTACACTAAAAAAATAATCTTAAATGCTATTTATTACCACTTACAGTCTGAGCTAATCTTTCAGTTTCCAATTCTTTATTTTTTCTTAAATCCTTAATATTTGGCTTCAAAGCAACTGTAATCACAGACAATTCTCCACTATCTTGTAAAGTTCTATAAGGGAATAAATCTTTTGCTATTTGTCGAAGTAAAGTTGGACATGTCTGAACTCTGACCACCATATCTCCATGTTCACAAGACTGGAAAAGTACAAATTTAGTTATCTTCACAAGGTTCACATTTAGATATTTATTATTAAATTCAGGTGTTTTACTGCTGGATAATGTAATACACCCTTTACACTTTTCTCATTCACATAAAATATTTACCATTAAGTTGGCAAAACAACTGTATTCTAGGTTAAAAATTTTACATTCGCATTAAAACATATGAAATATATCGATTTATGCTTCTTATGTGGACAATAAGACAATATATTATAATGCCAGTACAACTGTACTTGTACTGCAATACTAGGATGTATTGTTACTTACACTCTCATCTATTTGTTCCATTATCAACTCATGTTGAGATCTAACAGTTGTTTGAGTATCATACCAAGCAATTCCAATATTACCTCTCAAAAACAACGGAAACTCATTGGCAGCCAATAATTCAAAACTAGGGTCACGCCAAACCAAATTACAAGAATCTAAAAAGAATTTATAATTAGAACCATATTTCAATACAACATGCAAACAATAACATTTGCAGTTTTATGATCCAATGTCAACAAAATTAAACACTTGTAGGAGCTTTGGTAGATAAATAAAAAGGTTTTATTTTTGGTTCAGATATAGATTTTAAATGAAATATTTTGTACCTTCTATGGGTTGTTTTGATTTAACATATTTGTATGGACTTTCACTGTTGTTTCCACTTCCAACTTTCCTTGAATAATTTCTTAAAAGAATAGCTACACAATTATTATTTTTAACTGTCTTGTGTAATAATGAAAAATATCTACATGACATCTTTAAATTTTACAAAACATTGACATTTAGTAAATAATTTAGAATTTGCATCATCTTTGACATTGACATTGACTTTAAATTAAAGTAACTTATTCATTAGTTGTTATCTATTTCAAATTTTATCTTGTTGACCAATTGTGTTCTTTTATAAATTTAATTGGATCATTTGATTTGCTCCTTTTAAAAAAAGAACCCAGTAAAGTTTTATTTGTAATGTTGGTGGTACTGAGTAAATTTGTTACAGTGGGCTAGTCTCCTAAAAGAAGAAAACATTAAATGGAGGACTGACAGTTCTTTGATGACGTTCACGTGACGTGTACGGTAACTTTGATAGTATTTATTAATATGGGTGCTTAAATTTATGTGTAAAAATAATGAATATAGACGACTTTTTGAACTCCAGTGGTGAGGAAGGCAATAGTGATCTCGAAACCATGGATGTTGCATTGGGTTGTGAAAATCCGGAGCTCATGAGCTCCGAATTTTTTGATTCAGTACTCTCATTAGAGAACAATATGGATGATGAATTTTTCCCAAATTTTGAAGAGGATGTTAATCTGTCCAGCGATGCCAGTTCTAACGTAGACGAAGTCTTATCGCCGCAAAGTTATTATTCTGAAAGTGATAAGAACAGTTCTTGTTTGGAAAATTATGATGACACCAGTACCATATTGGGAAATATTGATGGTTTTGATGAATTAATGTCGATTTTAGATCCGATTCCAGATGTTCAAGTAAAAGAAGAAATTAAGCCTGTTACAGTACCTCCTACTCCTGTTCAAAAATTACCCACACAAATCCTCATTCAGAATCCTAACAACAAAAAATGTATAGCAAAACCCATGATAACTACTACTAGTCAAGTGAAAAAGCCTTTAATTAAAACTAAACCTCAGATACTTAAAGTACAACAGATATCAAATAATGGTAGCCCAGTTCTACTACCATTGAATATAAAAAGTATAAAAATATTGAGCAGTCCAGCAGAGGTTGCTGCTCTGACCAACAATATAAGAAAACGAAAAGTGGAACCCAAAATTGAGGATGATACTAATGTTGTCAGCTCCACAAATCACTATCCACCACTAGTCCTTACACCTGAGGAAAAGAGGCTATTAGCTAAGGAAGGCATTGCTCTACCCACCCACCACCCACTAACAAAAAATGATGAAAGGGAGTTGAAGAGGATTCGCAGAAAAATCAGGAATAAGATTTCAGCACAGGATTCCAGAAAGCGCAAGAAAGAGTATGTTGACAGTTTGGAGGAGAGAGTTAGAAGAGGTTAGTAATTATTTTAAGTTTTTAACAGGCTGTTTGCCCATGGGAACCCAGTTTTAGAATCAACATTTGAATTATATCACAGGAGTAGGAAATATGCATTTTTTATAAATATGTTATCAAAATAACAAGTCAAATGACAACTATGTTTTGACAATAACTTCACACCTGAAATCCAAAACAGTAAATAAAGATTCCACATGTGGTATTATTCCCAAATTATTCATATATTTTGCGTTCGTTTAATTATTAAGTCTATGTTTTTGGATATATCTAATAGGGAAAATTTATAGAAAAATAAGAACTTTACAAGTCCTTATGTTAGTTAATATTTTTAAATCAAGGTATGACAACAGTTCGGAATTTATGACAATCTGATTTATTCAATCATGTGGAATAAAATTTTAAATTTACCAAAGTCTAGAAATATGTGTTATGCTTTTAAAAACAGAATAAATAATATATTTCAGCTGTAGGTTTGGTTAGGTGAGAAATCACTTAATGTGTTACATAATAAACAGGTTGACATATTAACTATATGCTTAGCAGTATGTGTAAAAAGGAGAACAGTCAGAGTTTATTTTTTATACCTACTGGTACATTCCCAACAAAAGCATTTGATAAAAGCTTGAGATATCACAAGGAAGTGGGTCAAAACATTGGTGAATAATTTAGCATATTTTGCTGTATTTGAAAAATATTACTCCATTGATGGATATTTCTATTTAAAAATATGCTACATAGAAATATTGACAATCATGTTACATTTGACCAGTACTAGCAGCCTCATAACCAATAACATGTTTTAGTGAATAGTGTTCATTTTCTCTTTATATAATTTTGTACAAATTAAATTCTCATAAACCTGAACCAGCTGGTACCCAATAAGCACATGGTAAAATTTGCTGCCATGTTGCCAGATTTTATTGTTTTCCTTAATGTTTATAAAATATTTGCTGGTATGATGGTCATTTTGTATCATATTGACAAACATTCTGGGCATTAAGAAATTGGTTTATAAATATGAATTATGATCATACTAAAGATTTACTTTTTAGTTAATGATATGTTATTGGACGTTTCAACCTGAGGCTAGAATTTCTTTTTTTTGTGCTTTCTCTTTATTTTTACACATTTTTATTATTATTTGTTGTATTTTATTTGTACAGCTACATAATATAGAAGTATAACCATATTCAGGTTATATAAACATACTATTTGTTTGATATACATTTCATTATCTACCTTGAGACACTTCAGATGAATAACTTGATTTTTTATACTTCAGACGCTAGTGAGTAACCTTTAGTTACACCATACAGGGTCAAAAAGGTTTATTTAATCCTGCAATGTATAATGCATGCATTGATGCATTGAAAAAAGGTTAAATCATAGAATTTGTAGTTTATTTTGGAAGATGCTAAATTGATTTCCTTTGAAACAGATCTTATTGCATAGCAGGCTAGGCTAGTTTCTTACTTAATAAATCGATATGAAGGGACCATTTAAGGTTGCTGTCTATAAAAATACCAAGAAATTTTACAGAATCAATTATACTGCTCAGGCTGTTATTAAGAAGCAAGGGTTGAAGAGCTCCTTTATAGGATAATGCTACTGTCTTATCCATGTTAAAAGAGAGTAAATTAGAGTAGGACCAGGTTTTCATTTTAAGTAGATCAGAAGTTATAATTGCATAAAGAGTTGCACTATTAGAGTTCTTTCAGGTAATACTGGTATCATCCATCAATTTTTAAGTTAGTGATGTCATTTATAAAGATAAGGAAAACTAGAGGACCCAGTACTGAACCTTGTGGTACTCCACATACAATGCTTTTGTTGCTAGAGTCAGTATAATTTGCTCTAAATAGTTGTGTCATATTCCTCAAGTAAGATTGGAACCAATTCAAAGAAATACCTTGAATTCCATAGAAATTTAGTTTTTTTATCAAAATGTCATGATTTACACAATTAAAAGCTTTGGCATAGTCACAAAAAACAGTGGCAGTATAAAGATTATTATTTAATGCTTTATAGACCTCATGCAGTATAGAAAACATAGCATTGCTGGTACATTTATTAGATAGATAAAAGCCGAACTGACTTTGTGATAAAATGTTGTTTTCAACGAGAATGGACATAAGTCAAGCTTTTATAAGTCTCTCAATAATTTTGGATAGGACCGGTAGTAAGGCAATAGGTCTATAGTTACAGACATTAGATTTATCACCACCCTTATGAAGAGGAACAATAATGGCTGTCTTTAGGCACTTTGGAGAAATACCTTTTTCAAAGGAATTGTTAATTAGTGAGACCAGGACTTCCAACACATTATTTGGGAGATTTAAGAAAATTTTTATGGATAGTCCATCAGTACTACAGGAAGATTTGCTTTTGATACTACTGATTGTTTGGATCAGTTCAGATTTATCAACTGGTCTTATAAAGAATGAATTCGAGACTTTTTTGAATTGGGAAGATAGGAAATAGGATCTTGTTGTGGCAAAATAGCTGAATTTATATTTTTACTCACATTAACGAAGTATTCATTTAGATTTTCGGGGTTTGAAAGAGAAAATGTTTGAGCTGTGTTTCCCTTGTGACATTTTTAGAGCTACCCAGACGATTCTCATAGATAGATCCTCAAGATTTAGGTAGGTTCCTCTGTACTTGGAGATATATTCAGTGACAAAGACATTGGTAGTAAATTTCTTGATGTACAGTAGTGAACATATATTCTTGGCTGATATGTGGATACCCTTGGTAGACCAGGGTTTGTGATGTTTTGACTTAATTGTAATTAAAGAAAATGCCTTATTGAAAATATAGACATGTTTATCTAAAAAATCACTGAAATTATAGTCCACATCTACAGAGGGAAAGTGCCACCTAGAAGTCAAGCACAAATTTTGGAATTTACAATAGTTCTGGGCTGAAAAAGTCCTAACTAAATGTTGGGTTTTCGAGGATTGTTTGTTACAAGTGTTAAACTTAGTATATACTGCTTCATGGTCATAGAGTCCTGCATTAATAATTGTAGAACATACATCAAGGAGTGAGAAATCTGAGACAATATAATCAATTATGGTAGATGTTGTTTTAATAATTCTTGTAGGAGAATAACGTGCATCATGAAACCATATGATTCAAATACATTGACCAAGGATACTTGGGTAGCACAAGTAACAGCGTAATTAATATTCAAGTCACTACGTAGAATCTTTCTGCTTTTATTGGGCAGATTGTCTAACAAATTTAACAGGTTCTGAAAAAATAGTTCCGTGGAAGAGTCAGGTGATTTATAAATGTAAAGAATGTATAATTAAGATTCTTGTTATAAACCAATGAAAACTCAAACAATAGAGCTTCAGCAATAACTTCAGCAAACAATAGAACCTTACCATATTTAAAACTATTATTAATAACAACCAAACATTTCAAGGGTCCTAGTTGTGACTCATGCGATACACCTGCAATAATTAATAGAGGCTATACAGATTTAATCATTTTCACTGATTTTATCTTATTAGATTAGTAGCTCTGAATCCATTAGCATGACATCAGAAAACCCAACTAACTTTAATTTATGTATAACAACTGATGATTAACATTCAAAAGCTTTAATGAAATTCAGTGTAAATTGAGTGCACTTGGTAGTCTAGGTTTAGGTATTATTCAGATCATGTTATTTATGATTATGAATTGCATTCACTTCACTGTGAATGATCTAGTGGTTGATGGTTCAGATCCTGGTCAAAATACTTCTTCTTCCTTGTATGTATGTAG